AAATTCGGAGACTTTTCAATGTCCCGTCTCGAGTCGGTAAAGATCAAAGTGTCTATGTTTTGTTCGTATATTTGGCGACAAGTTGTCGACGCAGTGTGGATGGCGTGTGCTGCCAACAGTAGGAGACCAGTGAAATCACACATGGTTAATAAAACTCATTCGCAATAACGAAACTTTTGACTTTTTTGTAATTTTGTCATTGCGTTGTGGACAATTTGTCTCAAATTTGTCTTGTCAGAAGTCTCTATTTTTTGTGACAAGTTTGTCTTGTTTTTGTCTCAAAATCGTGTTTATTTTTTGTAACCTTGGTCTGGATCCGGCATAACGTTTTTTATTCTGTAGTAGTTTAGGCTTTCGCGGCCATCGTTTGAAGAATTTTGGTTTTTCGGGTTATTAGGCCGTCGTCGGTTAGAATTGCTTCCTAACGTTTCGCTAGCACGAGTGGCTAGCATCTTCAGAGGTGTGTTTGCTCCGATTGCTCACACTAGACTGATGCCTCCGCGTCGGCGTAGCGCGTATTTATGCGTCGGCGGAGGGGGGCGTGGCTTGTTCGGGTGGTAGTTCTTCCGGAACTGGTCTACTTCTCTGTGCTGCTACTTTGGTCCTAGATATAGCTGGATGCCAAATTCTGTTAAGGTAGAAAGTTTCTTCCTTCCTGTTGAAATTATTTGGATGTTTGTGAATTTCAACAGCTTCCCTGACCAGACGAGGATGATATCCAGATGTTGTGGCAATGACTTGGGTGTCTTCGAATTGGATTTTGTGGTCACCATCTCTTAGAGCATGTTCTGCTACGGCTGACTTCTCTGTTTGCCCTAATCTGCAGTTTCTCTTGTGTTCCGTAAGTCTCGTTCTGTAATATCTTCTGCCTAGCAGTTAAAAAGGAATGCTGTTGTTAAAAATGTATCATAAAAATATATAAAAATCTGATTTAAGCCTTTTATAAAAAGACTGAAATCTTTTTAATGACTTTAAGTGTTTTATAAAAGACTTAAATCTTTTTAATGACTTAAGTCTTTTCTAAAAAGACTTAAATCTTTTTCTATTTCGGAATAAATATTTAAATCACAAGTCATTTTGAAAAAGACTTAAATTTTAAGTTTAAGTTAGCTTTCGAAAAATGACTTAAAATCAAATGACTGAAGTCATTAAAATGATTTAAATCATTAAAAATACTTAAGTTTTCTGTGAGCTTGCAGCTCTGATGGTTATAAAAGGTGATTTACAGCCATGGTACGTTATAGACCGTGTTAGACGCATGGAGAACCGGCGATGGAATTTCTTTCAAAATTTGGATTTTTGTATAAAGGCGCTTGTTCCATCTGTCTAAATGATTTTTCGCATTACAGTGTTGCCGCTTCATACTATATCATCGCATCTCGCATCTTTGTTATTTTAAATGGAACACCTGGTATATTATTACATTTTTCGAAACTACTTTCATATCAATTTTTTCTGTTATAATACCCTATACCAATCTCTAATAGTTTTCGAGATAACAAATAAAACATGTGTAAAATTGACAAAAACATGATCTTGAATAAGCATTGTGCGCGTTCAGGGAACACAGCGGCTGACCGACCGCTGAGTATTTTACTCAGCGGCTGACTGTTTTTGCGTGTAAAAGAGACCGTTTAGGGAAACCGCTTACTCAGCCACTCAGCCGCTGACCGTCCCTGAACGCGCCCATTGATTAAATCATAAATTCGGCATGAAAGCTGAAATGTGGTTAAGTAAAGTCGACATATTCGATCTGTCTAAATCAACCGATTGAATATTAAACAGGGAGATCAAAAAATATTTATTTCTGTTTGTTATAAAATTGCTCAAATCATTATTTTAAATTCAATCCTATGAAATTCTTTATTTCGACAACTCATCAGAATTAAAAACAAACAAAATCATCACCTTTTGACACATTTCAGTGGACTGTTTAACGTGATTTTTATTAAATATTTCAAATTTCCTCCATACTGAATTTAGTATAAAACCTGTTTTATAAGCAGTGATATGGACGGTGGATAAATAGTAAATACCTAACGAGTAGGTAAATAAAATTTGGGTATATACCTGGCATATACCCAGAAGGTGTAAGGTACCCACTGAGGAATATTGTAGATATATACTTGGTATATACTGGTATATTCTTGGCATCATACCGGGTATTTACTAAGCTGTCGTCGAGGAGAATCCCCTTATAAAATTAGTGTATCCACCGATAGATAAATGCAACAAGTTTAGATTGGAAAGCCCGTAAAAATGTTGGGTCGCGAAATTATTTTGGGTCGCGACCGTTATACGCGATCTGGCGCTGCTATAGCGGTCGCTAAGAACAACGGCAAACAAAAACAGAAATAATTTTCTCTTGTCAAAGTCAGAATCTTCAAAAATCATAATAATCTCTCAAAATCTAAACCGCTCTCATTAAAGAAATTCCGAAAAATGTTTATAACGTTCATTTTCAAAGTAATTATTGCTATCTTGTGAGTTTAATTCAAGTTTTATTTACTCCAACCGGTGATAATTGTGAAAAAGTGGCATTAAAAACTTAAAAAACTGTGCTGTGAACTGTGAACTGCAAAAACCATCGTGGATCGTGGCATAACGTCGGTTTCCAATGTTTCATAGGTATTTCATACATGCGTCCTATATAAAAATAAAGTTTCTTGTATGCAACACACTGTATTTTATTTATAAAATTAAACGAAAATAATAAATTTGAATAAACAATATTTGGCGATATAATTCCGGAAAAAGCCGAACCGCTCCGAAATTTTCAAAAGTTTTGGGTCGCGACCGTTGCAAGAATAGCGCCGAATAGTGTTTACATTGTCCATATGGGCACTTTCCAATCTAAACTTGTTTCATTTATCTATGTATCCACCTATACGTTGCACTGTCAGCGTCAGCATATTGTGCTGTCGTGTTTTTGATATAATTTATTGGCTAGTATGCACTCTTCTGTGTATTCTTTGACTAATGGTGGTTTTCTGACCTTGTGTTACCAGATATTTCTTTAATGTCAAATTTATCAACAAATTGTTAAAATTTGTTAATAGTAGCCAAAATTAACAAAGTATACTTGAGTATAAACCGGGTATAATGTATTTACCCAAATTCAATACCCCCTGTATTTACCCATTGGGTATCTACCGGGTGCAAGACCTTGGGTACTTACCCAAATTTCAATATACAGGGTGTTCATCTACCACTGTTTATAAGTATGTTATGATAAAACCGCTCTACACCGCCATTTTGAAATAAAATAATAAGTTTTGATACATATGCATAGCTGAAAATAGAAATTTCAGATGTATGTATTATATTATATGAAAGAATAATACAGGGTGTCATTTTTTCCTGTTTTCAAAAAAGTGATATTTAACTGTGATGGAAAATATCCGTATTAGGGTATTACCTATAATTAATTGAACGTATATAGTCTCCCGGTAAAATTAATGGAATGGTTTCAGAATTAATTAAAACAAATGCACAATAAATATAATTTATTTCTAATACACATAGTTTACTTACATGGAGGATTATATGGAATTATACTTAATTTGTAATTATAATTTTCATATTCTTATTTTTTGTATGAAAAATTAATAATGATATAAGAGAAAATAGAAAAACAAAATTTTTTTTATAGCTAATAAAGTTGGCTAACCAAACTGTAAATTTTACAGTTTGGTGCAAATCTTATAAAATGTAGGGTAAAAATGTTCTTTTCAAACAAAAACGTTTTTTCATACAACATCTTATAACCTAAAACGTATTTTTGGTAAACGTGACATATAAATATAGGGTATATTATATCTGTTGATGGCTCCTTCCTGGCTCTTTTTATTCAATGTTCTGCAAGTCCAAAAATTTGATCACCATATTAAAGGTTCAACCGGGCGATTGAAAAAAAACGTGTCACACTGGCCTTTGAAACGACAGTTGATAATTTCTATATGGCCTCTATATGATATTTATTAAAAACTTTTTCATTTTTGATTTTCTACAATTATTTACAGAAAGAATTTCTAATAGAAAATATATTCTATTAGAATCTGCTGAAGACTTTTTGACACATGCTGTATTGTAGTCGACCCCAAAGATACCGTACAATCGAAAAAAACGACGTCAAAGACGGTTGGGAAATGACAATCGATGATAATTTTGGCGAGGTCAATCTCTAAATGTCATTAGAACGTTTCCAGACATACAAATTTATTTCCAAAAAAAATATTTTTCTCGAATTTTAGACTACACCATTTAAATATCATTTTTACTGAAATAAATAGTATATTGTTTTATTAGGAGTAAAAACGATACTTTTTGTGACGAGGCTGTACGTTTGGCATTACAGGTGAGACACAAAAAGTCATTTTTACTCCGAATAGGACATGGAATTTTTTTCCATGTCCTATAAGTAGAATAAAAGTAATTACACATATATCGATAAACATGGTTAAAACATGGTTACACTTGTTGAATTTGACATTTTATGTCAGTTTAATAATATATAATAAAATTATATGAGTTTCTTGCCTTGAACTGCTAATATAGAAATTAATTTCACGCTGTGTTCGACATAATGTGGATCAACCTGCTCTCACTACCGGTTTCGGGGCCCTACCCCATCATCAGGTGAGCTTGGGTATTTTCACAATATGTCGAGCACAGCGCAGAGTATAAAAACACGACTTGTCGTAAAGTAGCGGTAAGATATTAAGTCCCGCATCGCGAGATAGCGGCCGGCGTGCAATGGTAGTACTTTCGTACCACCGAGGCACAACGATCGATAATAAATAAAGGCTTTTTTCGGCTAGCCCAAATTATATAATGGAAAATAAATTTCTTGCAGTTTTTAGGTATATAATAAAATTATTTAAGAGTTTCTTGCCTTGAACTGCTAATATAGAAATTAATTCCACGCTGTGTTCGACATAATGCGGATCAACCTGCTCTCACTACCTGTTTCGGGGCCCTACCCCATCATCGTGAGCTTGGGTATTTCCACAATATGTCGAGCACAGCGCAGAATTTCGTAATTTTATGCTTAGGCGTAAAAGGGCTTTACTTTTATGACTAGGCGTTAAAATGACTTTTTTATATTGTCAATCATGTCGCTAAAAGTAATACTTTTGCGACGTTTGAAAAATAAAGAAGTGTACGGGCTCAGTAAATATCGTCTATAGGCCAATATTATTATTGATAGTGCCTGTGACGCCGTTTTTTTTTGATCGTATGGTATTATCGTTGAGCATCATTTCAAAAGTCACTGGGACGCCGTTTAATTTTCGATCGTATACAAATTGTTATGATTTTTTTCAAGATGTTTTGAATAAAATCGACCATGCTTATATCTGACAAGGAATGTTACAAAAAATCGTTTACAAAAATATTTTCTTTAACATATTGGTAAGACGCAGTTGAGAACAATTGAGTAGTGTTTGCTCTGATGTAGAATGTTTTCTTATCCACAACTACTGGATCAGTTTCTGCAATTTTATTCTCGAAAATATTCCTAATTTCGTCAGTATCCAAATTCATCTCTTCCAGCGTATAGCAAAACTCGTATTTCTCGTCGAAGCATTTGTAGATGGTGTAGACCAAATTATTACATTGCACGCACTGAATCTCTATCCATTCCGATAGTCTAACGTCTTTTTGTTTGTCCAACACAAAGCTGTTGTTCTCGAATTTCAGCCTTAATAATTTCCTACCTGAAAAATAAATAATATAATAGAATGTTTCATAACAGCACTCATCATCATCTGTTCTAATATTTTTTGTGTTATTAATTTGGAAACGATTGCACACGACACAAGTAGTCAGGGGCGGTGCTACCGGGGGTGCAAGGGGTACGCAGCACCCGGGCCTTCGGCCTCGGGGGGCGCCACACAGTGGAACGCGTTAGCACAAAGTGAGAGACATTGACAATAAAATTATTTTTATTTTTTTTATAATTTAACTGCCATAACTATTTAGAAAAATACTCTAATTATTATCACAGATTAGGTATACTATATGTATACAGATAAAAATCTTATCCCTAATTCGTAGTACGAAAATTGTTTTTTATGACGATGTGCAAACGAGTAAAATTTCCTGTGCGCAAAAATAAGCTCGCGTAAAATAACAGTAAACAGCGTAATAGAGATATCGCTAAACCGAATAGCGTGCATGGACGTTAATAAGGCCAAGTGTTATTTCCTTTACGTGAGGTGGTATTAACTCTCTTCATTTATAGTTATCGGATCGGAAAGAATTCCGTTCGCTGCGCGTCCGCTATTTAAACTTAACCTAACTTTGAATTTAAAACTTTGAAATTGTTTTGTTTACTAGGTATTTTAAAACTAAAGGGCTAAAGTGCTTATTGCCAGTGCTTTATTGTTCAACGTCTGCCAGTGGGTTTAGGGCACAAGCAAAAAATTCTCTTAGAAGGGCAAAGTCGTCATCTGCTGTAAACCTAAGCCTCTTTATAGGTTCTTTAATAAAAAACCAAGAAAATTGGAAGAGGTGGAATCCATATTTTGAGCCATATTTATTTAATCAAAACTATTTCCAGCTGCTTAAATATCAAATTACCTAATAAAACTAAAGTAATAATTCAAAATAATTCAAACATAACCTAAAATAAAGGATTTCGCCGGCCGGCCCCGATTGTCAAATACCCGCACTTGCCCATTTAAGCAATTTTTAAACGTTATTTAGAAATAGCGCTTGGTGTAATTGATCCGCAAATTACGTCAGGCGGTAACGTTATTAGCGGGCGTTGCATTAAAAATTGACTCGCGCATATCGTAACCATGATAAGGTACGCATAAATACTGCATGACGCTATTCGGTTTTCCGATATCTCTCTAAAGCTCCGCGCGCACTGCATCGGATCGGACCGACCAGCAAAGGCGACTGCGACCATCGTACATACAGACGGCGCCGGTGTCCACTAAAACATTTCGGCCTGTAGAGGCCAGATTCCTACCTCTACCTATCTACGATAGTCGAGTCACCGCCTTCGCCGGACTGGTACCGATTCAATGCGCGTACACCTTAATAACTGTGCCGGTCAGGCGCTGTGCACAATTTTAGAGGCCATAAGTGGGCGTGCTATGTGCGCAAACTAGTAACCTAACTGGTGCCCGATTCCGAAAATTGGAACCACGAAAAACAATAAAGAAAAAACAAAGTTTATAATCTGTATAATCTGTCTTATTATCTTATTGAAATTTTGGGATATAATATCCTGATTCGTAAATATTTTGGTACAAAGGTAAATTATCACCAATTTAGAACCTTTTTTAATGTATCGCCAATAAACAATAAATATCAAAAAATAAAATATAATAAATCTTTCAAACTAGTAAACTTTTTTATTACATAACTAGCGTGTACCCGCGACTTCGTTCGCGTCGAATTAATCATTTGTAATAGTGATGATAAAGCAAAGCAAGAATTGCCATTAACATACAAACTGGATAAAATTTTCTCACATTTATGTCAGCATGAGAAAAAACAATATGGCGATATAACACACAGTCAATATAACTTGGTAATATTTGAGGAGTAGTTTCATCTCACCTAGTTTTCACCCTCTTGGAATTTGAGATTCGAAAAACCCCTCCTTATCGAACCTCTACACCCCACAGTCAATCCGTTTGCCAAAAATCAGCTTTAAACGTAAAGCAGTTTAATCAAGCAAAAAATGGTGATTACTCAATGGTCATATTTTATGAAACACCCTGTATAAATTTTTAAAAAATCTTAAAATATGTAAAAAACAAAATAAAATATACGTGTTTAAGCGTTTTTTCGGAAACTTGACCGTTTTTTAAATAAAAAATATAGTAATATTCGAGGGGTGGTTTCACCCCCTTGGAACTGGAATTTCGAAAAATCCCTTCTTATCGAACCTCTACACGCTAGAATCAACCTGAGGTAATAATAGGCGGTTAAAGCGTACTGCTAGCCACATTACCTTCCTTGTATACCGAATAATAATAAATAATAGCATGGCAAACTGCCCACTCCCAAAAAATCGGTTATTTAAAATTTGAACTAATTAATGTTTTTACTCTTACATTTTTGATTTTAGTTACTAAATACTTCTCAAAAATAATTAGGATACATCAATATTACGAATCTTACTTTTTTACTTTGCTTAGTTCTTTCAGTAGCACGTCTGAATTTTTGTTGTTAAATAATTATATTAACTTATTTATTTATTACATTTAGATATAATGTTTTAAATAGTTACTACTACCCTACATAAAGCCCTGTCTACATGTAACATTTTACCTGTCAGTCTAGGGTGTCAGATAAAATGGAATATCGTCTAGAAAACTGACAGCAGTTCTCAAGGCGATCGTCCATCTTAGTCATATTTACCTTTAATGTATATGTACGTAGAATCAGCAAAAACTGTATATTTTCCCAAACTGTTAACTACCTCTTCTTCAACAGCTATTTTAAAGGATTGCCATGAACTGTCGGCAATGTTGAAAGTATAAACTGTCCCATGGTTGACATAAAGAATACATAATTGTCCCAAAAACGAACAACATTGGTACTCTCTACTGTCTTTTGGTAGATTAATAATTTCAGAAGACCATTTACCTAAAATTAACACAAAAGCTGAGAACCTGTAATAATAAAAATTTGTAAAAAGTATTAGTTACTGGTTGAATTAAACTAGATAGCTTGGTTGTGAAATGATTTTTATAGCCCCCATACACCAGCGAGCTTGGTATACGGATTTGGTCTGCGGACTTAGTATGCGGATTTAATCGGCGGACTTGGCTCTTGACCAAAACTCTCGTATTTTGGACGGCCCAATCTAGCCGGCCGAATTGAGCTTGATTTTCATGCATCCGTTGTCCGACGATACGTTGACACACTAGTATTGTGCATTTTGAATTGTGCAAAACTAGTTTGGTGCATTTCAAAATGTCCAATACTAGTTTTGCTTGTCCTATTTGATCAATAACGCCCTAACACAAAAGATGGATTTTTTATGAATGTGTCTGATTCAAATATGATTAAACTGACAATAAAATACTTAAAAAAACAAAACTTTATTCATAAATATTTTATAAATAGATAAACGATCGAATTTCCTGGTTGAGAGGTAAATACTCTATCCACAGGACCATATACGCTCCTGTAAATTTATTAATATAATGTACTTAGTACTTATCATTCAACTTATAAAATTATATAAAAATTAAAATAACGGAACCCTAAGAATGGTTAGATACCTAATAGATAAAATAAAAATCAAAAAAACAAACCTTTATGTCGTTTATGGCCTGTAGTTATATGTACCTGGTAAATTATAGAAAACATTTCCTCAATCCCCACAAAATACAGTATGACATCGGAATCTCCTTGGCGCTTATTGATCAATTTTTCCACACCACCCACAGTTATTATATCAAAACGCTTTATTTATCCTTCTATATTGATTCGCACACAAAGGTTTTAAATCAGTTTTAAGAAAATTTGTCTCCTTAACTTCAGTCAATATCGTTAGGTATTAGTTTTTCGACATAGTTATGTTTCTGTGTTTTAGCCATCATCAATCGACTTGAATTTCGAACTCGGCTTCCATTTTTTCTTGCATTTTTATATTTTATTTTACCAAGTATTGCGTATTTCCACCCACAACAAAATCAAAATAAGAATCCTTTAAAACCTAAACAAATTGCTAACCCTACTTTTTGCCGTCTTATTTAAATAAAACGAGCAAAACTAGTATTGGTCATTTTGAAATGCACCAAACTAGTTTTGCACAATTTAAAATGCACAATACTAATTTTGGCTATTTTGTAATGCGCAATACCCGTTTAAATGTACAATTTCGGGTTTGGGAAATATTTTTTGCTCAAACCTAGTTCTGTGCATTTTTTTTCGGGCATTACCCGAATTAGAGTATTGTGCGTAACATATACAAGCTTTCCGTTTCTATCAGTGAAATGAAATTTAAAATAAATAACCTGTAAATAACTAACAAATAATAAAAACCACATTATACGGGATATATTGCTTTCCAACAAGAACCATTGTTACTGAAAATCAAGAAAATGAAATGTTTGTTAACAATGTCATGTCTAAATGTAATAAATGTACATTTAACATAACAATTAATAGCAAATAATGCCCTAATTTATTAACTTCTTTATAACCCATCTTCTGTTTATAATACTGTAAGTAATTCTGTACACATCTTTGTTACTTAATAATACACTTTTCATTTGGTTAATAAAAATTTGAATCTAATCTTCCAGTTTCGTCTTTATTTAGAAAAAAAATTGTTACCTACTTCAAAATACACTCGCTTAAAAAATTTTGTGTGCACCTCGGCCGTATGATCTTTTTTGTCCTCACCTGAAATTTGCATGGTACACAAATAACTATTTCTGACGATTTTAAGTAAGAATGGCGCCAAATACCGTATGATCGAATAAAAACGTTGTCAACGATGGCTATGAAATGACAATTGGTGACATTTCCCATATAATTTTATATATATAAAATGACAGCGATCTTCATTTCATAGCGATCGTTGACGCCGTTTTTATTCGATCATACGGTATTTGGCGCCATTCTTACAACGGTCGCTCTCCAAAGCTTTTCATAATTTCGGAGTGGTTCGACTTTTTCCGGAATTAGGTATGTACATTGCCCTTATGGGAACTTTCCAATCTAAACGTGTTTCCTTTATCTATGGTAGTTACCTGTTTTAAGATCGCAGTGCAATAGGTTATTCTGCAGTACCCGAAATCTTCCAGTTCCGCCAACAATATAAAGAGAATCCCCCACGATGCACGTTTCAAAATGGCGTCGACCATGGGGCAACCTAAAAAGTTCATACCAGAAATTTAGTACAGAGTGTTCACGTAAATTTTAGCCACCTCCAAAAATTCAATATTGGTTTTAGAAAAAAAATTAAATTATGAAAGTTTAAGAATTTTGCCTAAATCACCACATTCGTATTTTCGAAATAACAAAAACCTATACAGGGTGAGTCCTAAATAAGTGCAAATATTTTCAGAGGTAGTATATTTTGACCCCAGGAACCCGTCTATGAGGTTTTTTTCGCAAAAAAAGATGTTGAAAATCGTGCATTTTCTTTTAAATTTCCCTGTATATTTTTCGAAAACTTTTTAGAACTGCCTGTTCACCGCAAATTTTCCCAACGTATAATTTCTTAATCTCTGATATTACCATAGTTACAGCTTTACTCTATGGTTACGACACTAAAAGGGATGCAAATACAGAAAAAAGCTGGTGGCTCTCAAAATTTTTCCAAAAAAAATCATTTTTTTTTAATTTTCAAACTTAAATAACTCGGTTATTTTGGACTTATTTGAAAAATGGTAAAGAGAAAATATGTTTCTTTTATCGAGATATACCAGTCCTGAAAATATTTGCATTTATTTAAGACTCACTCTCTCGTATATCTGATTCTTAAGAGTCCATTTTACTAGTCCGAAAAAGTAGTAAAATAAGCGTTCGGCATTTAACGTTTTATGTAAAACTGACTAGGTATTTTTACACAAATGAAGAAGGAAATTAAAGATAAAGGATTATACTATATCCCTATTATAGCACATTTTCAACTTCTTTATTTTTAAGATTTTAATGGTCAAACATCAACAAAATACTATGTTTGGACTAAATTTTCTCGAAAATAAAGACATAATTTAAAATTCCGTTACAATACGGAAATAGATTGAAGTCTTGTGATTACAGTGATATATAATTTATATGGTTTTGTAACAAATTACTTGCTATTTTATGGCAAATGCTGAAGCTTTGCAAACTTTTATCAAGCCTTAATCAAAGCACGTGTGTTTGAAATTTTGGGTGTGGCTTAACACGACAGGATCAGGCTACTCCTTAGGCAGTTTTCTGAAATATAATATATATTTCCTTCAGCGACGCACCCGCTCTATCTGACCCCTGACAACGACCCGAACAGTACAGCGTAGAGATGAGCAGAAAATCGAAAACAGCGATTGTAAATTCGCAATCGCAACCTGCGATTCCTTTCCATAACAAACTGCGACTTGCGATTAAAACATCTATCTGCCGATTTTGGAGTTTTAGGCAACCAATATTACACCAGTTACGATTTGCAATCGCAGTGGGCACGCAAATGGTGGGGAACGAAAATCACAGCATTGCGATTTTCGTTCGCACCGGCGCGGCGGTGCATCGGCACTGCACTGAGCCGGTGAACGAAGAGCTGGGAACAAAAATCACGTCATTGCGATTCGGCCGGCGCGCGGCGGCGCCTCATCAGCACGGCAGTGGCCAGGCGAACGAGTAGCTGAACGAAAATCGCAGCTCATCGCATCATTGCGATTGCGATTTTCGATGGCACCAGCGCGGCATCGGGAGTGAGGAGTGGGCACGCCAACGAAGAGCGGCGAACGAAAATCACAATATTGCGATTTTCGTTCGCAGCTCCCAACACATCGGCCTAGACTAGATCGCAAAATCACATTCGCAATCAGGGCCCCGTACTGTTTATGAAGCGTTGGAAAATAGGCTTATGTTTATAAACAAGGGTTTATATACAGCATAATATATGTATATAATTTATTAGATTTAAATTTTGAATAACTTTAGATTTATAATATAATTATGGATTGAAAAGGTTAAAAAATTCTTGTTTTCGGTTATGACTAATTCTAATTATAGTTACAGTTGCTCCCAGGTATAATTCAGATTGTTTACAAATGATTCACAAGGACAGTTTTGGATTCAAATTATAAAAAATTGTCTATTTTTATCCTTTATTTACTAGAAGACATAGAGTACGGAAAAGAAACTCTATTAATATGGATACTTTTTTCAGCCCTTTTCATTTATTATATTTTATTATACAGGGTGTTTCAAAACAAATGCGAAAAACTTCAGGGGGCGATTCCTTGTTCAAAATAAAGAGTAGTTTGCTTCATAAACGTTGGGTCAAAAGTCAACCATTAGGGAGATATCGCGGTACAAAGATGGCGGAAAAATAAGGTTTTTATTTTTTATTTTGAAAACGAAAAGAGATAGACTAATGAAATTTTATGGAAGTATTGCTGTTATGAATACACACTTTCTGGTAATTTTTTCACTTTTTTAAAATGAGTGGAAGGGGTTGAAATAAACTACCCCTATCATTCTTGTTATCGAAATTTAAAGAAAAATCTTATCAAACACATGCAAAAAAATAAATTTGGATAGCTTGGTTTGTTCAGAAACTTTTTTATCTCTTGTGTTTTGACATGTAATGCTTTACATTTTATTTTTCAGTTTCAAATCGGCGAGTTTTATCAAAGAAACACAAGAGATAAAAAAGTTTCTAAACAAACCAAGCTATCCAAATTAATTTTTTTGCATGTGTTTGATAAGATTTTTTTTAAATTTCGTTAACAAGAATGATAGGGGTAGTTTATTTCAACCCCTTCCACTCATTTTAAAAAAGTGAGAAAATTACCAGAAAGTATGTTTTCATAACAGTAATGCTTCCATAAAATTTCATCAATCTATCGTTTTTCGTTTTCAAGATAAAAAATAAAAACATTATTTTTCCGCCATCTTGGTACCGCGATATCTCCCTAATGGTTGACTTTTGACCCAACGTTTATAAAGCAAACTACCCTTTATTTTGAACAAGGAATCACCCCCTAAAGTTTTTCGCATTTGTTTTGAAACACCCTGTATATTATATTATTATAAACATTTTTATAATAATCCGTAATATAATATAATTTTCTGAATATTAACTAACAGTTGTGGATCGGCTGCTATGTTAATTTAGATACATCCTTTACAATCAGTTTTTTAATTTTAGAGAAATTTCAAATATAATAAAATGTGATATTGTCCTTTTATTTATCGAAAAGTTCGAAAGTTTGCACTTGCACTGGACTGGCCGTATCAAAGCCGTCGGCGTCAGCTTCTTTTGAGTTACATAAATATAAAGAAAATGTTTTTAAAAGAAAAAAAGATAAAATAAACAGTTTTTTTTCTGTAAGGTTGGCGGCAACCTTTTTTATAATAAATTTTTCGTTAGTATACCTACCATAGATTTAGTAAGAACATATATAACATTTTGCATTTTAACCCGATCAAACAATCGGAGGTTGACGACGTACTGTAAAAACCAACTGAGATGGAGAAGGCGACATTGCCACATATCAAATTTGCGCCTATCTACTTAGTTTGATTTGCAGAAAAGGTGACTTTAAAACCTTCACCGGATATCAATAAATCTCAATTTCTTAATTAAATTAATAGTTTATTTTTAAAGAAGCATGCGTAATAATATGTTATTAACCAGAGGATATATTATATGCGTTACTATTAAAGGACAGTTTATTAATGTGCTGAAATGTCTAGAACTATTGGCAACGTCGCTGCTAGTCTTCCAGAATGAAATGAGCCGTCCGTCCCACCACCCCTCGCGACGGCCCTTGGTCCGTTATAGCGTACTACGTTTAGCTTACGATGTGTTTGAAGTCGGAATCAAGTCCGATAAGTGAACTTCAGTGTTTTTCAGTATCGATTGCGAACTAACTAAATAGTTACTATTTACTAATTTTGAAAAGTTCTTTTTAAGATCAAAAAAGGTAAAACTAAAACCTAAACTATCATTTGAGATTAAACGGGAAGTTCTAAATAATGTTGCCTATTCTAAACAAGAAAAATGTATTTATAAGTTTTATAACATCTCTAATTAAATTTGCACGAAAAGAATATTTCTCTTTGCTGTAGGTAATTTTCTCAGGGAAAATACGTAAACAAAAATGACTTTTTAAGTCAAAAAAAGTCAAAAGGACAAGTTATTCCAAACAAGGACTGTCCTTTTCAAAAAAGGACAGGTGGCAACCCTAGGTATTTCTGGAATGGAAATTTAATGGCAAATCTATAACTTTATTTTGAAAATATGTTCCGGCCACCTATGTTTACAAAAATATCTGAAATGTGCTTTACCATTGCCTCCATATTCTAAAAAAAATGAAAGAAGAGTCACCAACCATTGAAACCTAATATAGAACTGTTTCGGCATCTTGAGTCACCCTGTAAATATTCAAGTAACTGAAAGTTTATATAGAAGTATCTGAAAATATTTATATTCTTCAAACTGTGCTGAAAGTTTAAATTGAAAATCGACGTTGGAGCGATTTTCGAAAACTACTAACGTTTCAACATAAGTATATATGTAGGATATTAATTATATTATTATATTAGACCTTATAACAAAAGTCATCTGACGAAAAAGTGTTAATATAGTATATTAATATGGAGTAAAAATTTTACTAATTTCTTTACTTTTACTTTACTAATTAAATTCGTTCCAAAAAACGATACGCCACTGGCCATTAGAACAATCCAAATCCGCCTAGTTGCCGGGGTCGGAAATTTTAGACTTCTCTGTCTCTTCTGTCCTTGTTTGACACATTGGAATGTTTGATACACTACCAACGAGTATTTATGAATGAGATGTTCGGTCTATCTTTATAATGTCTTTGATACCTACAGACTGTCTAAAAGCACATTCGAATATTTAGAACATTTTATGTCTTTTTAATTTCCCTCTTAAATTTATTCGGTCTGTTCTAAATCAAAAATGTTTTAAAAAAGAAAACTAAGTTATTTGTGGATTTTTTTTTGGTAACTGATGAAAATTTTAAGTGCAATATGCAATATGTGTGCAGCAAAAATATCATAAAAAACGAGCACTACAAATTTTAAAACACACAAGAGTTTCTTTGTAAGTTTTTATAAAAAAAAATGATTCCGCTATTTATTTTGTTTTTTATTGAAAATTTTGGGATTGAGCTTCCCAGTTTACAGCCTACCAATTTAAAAATATTAAAATCGCAATCGCAGGCTACAGTCGCAGCGATTTATAAATCACAATCGCAGTTTTGCTCATCTCTAGTACAGCGTAATAGACTCTTAAGTTGAATAGACAATTTTTTTTTGGTTTCAAAAATATCATTTTTTTTTTCGTGGTTTTAGAGAAACAAACGATTAGTGAAAACAATTCTAAGGTAGTGTTGATCAAGCATTACGCACCATTATGGTAAATTTTATATGGGAATTGCGCAATAACGCATGTAGTAGTATATTTTAGGTAATCCCTAGAATAAAAATAAGATAAAAAATGCTTAATGGGAATATTTGCTGGATTAGTAATATTACAATAAAAAGGTTTTTATAATGATATGTATTTTGCCTACATTATATGCAAGCCACTGGTATTTTGAAATAAATGTAGAACGGTACTGACAAAGGTTGATTCTCACGATAGATATTCTCACTATACCTCCCATATCAGCTCCCTTCCGTTTCACTTCCGTTTACATAAAATATATCATGTATCAAACGACAATGCACACTATCCGTTCCGTTCCATATCCTTTTCTTCCATACATTTTTTTGGCGGACGGACTGAAGCGTATCGGAAACAGCGTTGTCATGTTCTTACATTTGTACTAGCTCTGTTAAAATTTTACTGATATTTATTTATTCTTTCACCTCTTAATTAAATCTATTACCTTATTCAAACAATACAAATTTTAAAATTAAACTTTCGTAATGATATAAATCGTACAATAAAAAGTATGGAACTGAAATGGAACGGAAGTTTACGTTGTAGCATTTTCATTTTCCAAATGCTACTTTGTTTTATTATAGCCGGTATTTTATTATTGTATCGATATTCTTTTTACATTTCTACAACACTTAAATTTCGGAACGCTCTCTATCGAAAATATTGAATCGTACCCTGGTGTATCGACAAGACGGGAAACGTCAAAATCGTCACCTCGGATTTGGCCGTTGCCGAGATCACTGTGCCATTTTAAGAATTAAATTTATTTGGCCGGTATTTTTCACAATATGGGTAAAATATTGTGATTTTGTTATCCTATAGATGGTTGAAGGTCCCATATAGCTTTTGATTGTTGAGATTTTAATGGATCTATAGTTTTGGTAAGATTTTCTTTGACATTCCATTCGTTAGAAAAAACCTTCACATGCCTTTCTTTTAGATTCCAGTTTTTTGATGAGAAGTGTCCAGCCCTTATTTGAGAAGAAATGTTAAATTATTGATTTGTGCCTTTACAATGAGGTACATACATACATACATATACATAGGGGTGCAAGGGGTATTGAAGCAATTTATTTGAAGCAATTACAATGAGGTAAATTAATACCTTCGTAAATTTTTCAAGTTTTTTTTTAAATGTAAGGTTAACTAATACCGTGCATTTCTTTTTAGGTTTTTCTCAGCATTTTTCTTTGGATTTTTCTTCAAGTATTTCTAGACATTTTTCTAGACGTTTTTCTGCAAGTTTTTCTACACTTGTTTCTAGAAGTTTTTTCGCCAAGTTTTCCTTGCAGTTTTTCCAAGTTCCCTTTGATTCTTCAATACGTGTTCAGTCACCGAAGTAATCAGTAGCAGACTGCTCGGTTAGATTTCAGCCCTGCACCCCTCTGAGGAGAAGTTTGATGCTTTGATGTTTTTTATCATTAAGAAGATCCTTTTTTTAGTATAATTTGGTATACAAGGCCAGTATATTTTTTTATAGTAAACTAATTTTTTTTTTGTAATTTGATTTTAAATAATCATTAGTGTGTTAAGAAATTAACTATTCTTAACATTTTACATTTAACCGGTTAAGTACTTGCCGTCAGCATTACTTTAACCCTTAATTTATACAATTTAACATTCTGTTACATTTTATATATTTTTTTTTAACACTTTAAGTATTTGCCTTCGGAATTGCTTAAATTTCACTTACATCTATTTATGTTAACCTTTTATAACTTTACAATCTTTGACCTGTAAGGGCAATCTTGGGTACAGATTTTAAACTTTTTCCCTTAACTATATACAAACAAAAAGGTTCATGAATCTTCGCAATAAGTCAAAAAAAATTTAAATATTTATTATTCGAATATAACCAAGACTGTCTCTAAAAGTATTATTTTTATATTATAATTGTTTGAATAATATTTGAAAAGACATAATTTGATTTTAAGCAAGTTTTAAGATAGAGTTTCTTAAATATAATTCTTGTATATTAATGTATACAACTGCTGTGCCGAATAGGTACCTAATAATTTCTAACAAGAAATAAATCTTATTTTTTGGGGTATTTGAATTGTTTCATTGGTTGATCCAGTTTCTCAAAATATTTAATAGCTATACTAATTTTAGTTACTATTCAATTAATACACTTGTACAAATTTTCTTATTTCAGTTTGTACTATCCTTTGTAAGAATCAGCATCTTTTTGAAATAAGTGGCGCCCTTTGGTATGCAGTGTAAGGTATAGGTGGGTATCATATTTTTAGCCAAGTGCAGAAGCAAAAGCTTGTTCCCACCGCCTCCGATATAAGAGTAGCCGTTCGCAATATTTTGACTTAAATTTTCAATAAAAGGAAAGTTTTTGTCACAACGTATAGCGTTAATACGATAAAAAATACGGAACGGATATGGAATGGAATAATGAGAATCAACCTTAATCCGGAATTCAAAGCAGTCATATTAAAATTCGTTCACGGTCTCTCAAATTCAGTAAATTAACTGCATCCTTAATATGTTTGCTCAATACTTATAATTTTTGAAACAGTATGTAACTTACTTATTTCTTCGTTCCCACTTGTTTTTGAATGTGTCGAAAGACCACAAATTCAAGTTCCACTCGTTAGACCCACGGAGATGCTGTCCACCAAAGAAAAAAATAAAATGTTTGTACCGCACAAGCTTAAATCCTTCTATGTGTTCCACTTTTTTTTCCTCAAGAGGAAAAAAATGCTTAAATGTGTCAGTCAAACTGTCTGAAACAACGAAAAAATGTTGTGTAGGTACATAAATATGTATGTTTAAAAAAAATGTTGTGTAGGTACAACAGCAAAATAAAAACACTAGGTATAACAGTAAATAATTGTCAGCTCTATAATAAGACCCTCTCAAAAAAATAACGGTATAAGTGATGTTTAACCATTTGTTTACCTCGCGTCATTTTTTCTTTAATTTAAAAACGCTTATAATTTATATACAGGGTGGCGCCTCTCATACACCGCGGAGGCTCCAAGCAGAACGACATTTTATATTGAAATGAAATTTTGTGAGCGTATATAGGTTAATTCAAAGCACTTTTTAAAAATATAGAGAGTTCTACAGGGTGTTCCCAAAAAAGTTATCTACATATCAAAGTTGTGTTCTTTGTAATGGAACACCCTATATATTAATTGATTTTTGGATTCTGGGAGAAAAATAAAGATGAGTTTTATAAGAGATATGACTAAAATGTAAGGTTTTTGACATATTTGACATTTTCTAGAAATAAAGAACAATTTTTAAATTACAATAAAAGTTGTCTAAATTGAAATTTACCCAGTATAGCCTAATATGTAGTTAAATTAACTATTGTACTTTACATCAAATTAAAACTTGATCCAAAAAGTTATACAGGGTGAGACAAAATTAATATTGAACATTGGTCACCTTTAAAAGCATGTTAAGTCTCTTCAAAATACTATTAAGGTTGCCTACCCCTCAAACAAAGATTTTCCTAGATATTTTCATTTACATGATTTGATCTGAGTAGATCTTTATTATTTGATAAAATCTAGGTGGCTGTGATATGTCTGACGTTACTTCAACATAGCTGTCTAATTAGTCCAACTTTAACAACTAGTTATCAATTTGTGTCAGTTAAAACAAAAAAATTTCTCAGAAATTTGCCGAAAATGCAAATTATCCTACATCAGAGAGAACTGATATGCTTCTATTAGTTGTAAATTAATAGAATACTTAAATGCTCCTGATTTTATCTAGTCTGTTTTTTTTATGGGGATATGTTAAAGACAGTGTTTACAAAACTCGACCAACTAGTGTCGACAACATGAGAGAAATTATTGTAGCTGCTTTTCGAGGTAGAACTCCACATATGCTTTTTAAAATGAAAAGATCCTTTTGAAAAGACAATCATTTTATGCAGTTAACAGGAAAGGAAGCATTTTGAGCATTTGATTTCATCTAGCTAATTTTTATCGCATAATTGTAGGTTTGTATCTGGTTTTAATTCTGTAATAATTAAAGTATTTTAATTCTGTAATAATTAAAGTATGTTTTAAACGTGTATCTTTTTATTACCCTTGAGTATTTTACTCTACAGTCTTTAATTTTTGTTAAATTAACAAAAGGTATATCACACAGCCAAGATTTTTCACACCTAGATTTTTTTCAAATAATAAAAATTTACTGACGCAAAATCATAAAAATTAAAATATCTGGGAAAATCTTTATCTGAGGGGTAGGCAACCTTAATAATATTTTGAAGATATATAAATTCCCCATTGAACACCGGAAAAATATACTGGTGTTCCATTTAAAATAAATGAGTAACTTGCTTTTAAAAGTGACTAATGTTCCATATTAATTTTGTCTCACCCTGTATAACTTTTCGGGTCAAATTTCAATTTGGTTTAACATACAATAGTTACTGTAATTAAATATCGAGCTATACAAGGTCAACTAAAATTAGGTAGCTGTTATCGAAATTTAAAATTTACTCTTCATTTTTACAAAATGTGAAATATGTCAAAATCCTTAGATTTAAGGTATATGCTTCTTTAATAAAACTCACCTTTATTTTTTTCTTAGAATCCGAAAATCAATTAATATGTTCCAAGGGTATTCCATTAGAAAAAATACAACTTTGATGTGTAACTTTTTTTGGAGACACCCTGTATAATTCTATATTTTATAAAATGCTTTCAGTTAACCTAAATATGCTGCCAAAATTTCATTTCGATATAAACTGTCGTTTTCCTTGGAGCTTCCGCGGCGTATGAGAGGCGCCACCCTGTACAGGGTGGTCCGAACTGTATTCCGGAAACTTCGGCAGCATATTCTGCAGATAAAAATGAATAAAAAAGTTCGTATAAATGTATGTCCTAAAATGCTTAGTTTCGGAGATACAGGGTAGAAGTTTCATTTTTATTTCGATTTTTTCCAAATAATTTCTGCAGTAACGTCCATAAATGAATGAAAATTGGTGTCTGGGAGTTTTTTCACATGAGAAATTTGATTTTGATGTCAATATGACTCCTACTAGTAGAGGGCGCCACCTACATATTTTTTAACCGGTTTGAATCCTAATAACTTTTCGTCCGTAGCTGTATAAAACTACTGACTAAAAAAATATACATTTACGACGTTTTTTACGTAAAAAATGTCTCTTGGTAAAAATCGCTAAGAGTATTAGTTTTCGAGATATTTGGAATCGAAATTATCAATACATGTCATCACTGACGTATAAATTAACATGATGAGACTAAATAGTTATTAGCTTGAGATCATAAATTTGAAAGTTTTTGTGCCAAAAGTTCAACAGAAACTGTTTTAACATAATTTTTTTGCAGAAAAATTTATTATTAATTAAAAAGAAAATAAAAATTTCCCAAATTTATTATTTCAGTGAAATAACTATCTACTCAACGTGTTTATTTTTCGTCAATAATGACATGTATTGACTATTTCCATTCTAAATATCTTAAGAACGGTTGCTCGTAACAAGTTTTACAAAGAGATATTTTTTACGTAAAAAGTCATATTTTTCCCTCGGTAGTTTTATACAGGTACGGACAAAAAGTTATTACGCTTCAAAACAGTTACAACGCATGTAGGTGGCGCCCTCTACTAGTAGGAGTCATATTGACATCAAAATCAAATTTCTCATGTCAAAAAACTCCCAGACACCACTTTTCATCTAAATATTGAGGTTACTTCAGAAATTATTTGGAAAAAATCGAAATAATTATGAAATTTTTACACCCTGTATCTTCGAAACTAAGCATTTAAGGACATACATGTATACGAAGTTTTTTACTTATTTTTGTCTGCAGAATATGCTGCCGAAGTTTCCGGAACACAGTTCGGACCACCCTGTATACTGGGTGCGTCTCAAAAGTAGCTCAACCCTATAAGCTTTTTACTTTTTATTCAGGTAAAAAACGAGATTTGGTATGTATATGACATAAATTAAATATGACATAAATTAGGATTGATTGACGTATTTAATTGTTTTCGGTCAGGGTGCATCCATACCATCCTAGAAAAATAGGAACGGCGCGGCGGCGTATCGGCGTAACGACCTTGAATCGATTTCCAGTAATTCTATTGGCTGAAATTTTTGACAGATGAATTTGACAGATGAAATTTTTGACAGATGAACTTTTCAGCCAATAGAATTGCCGGAAATCGATTCAAGGTTGTTACGCCGATACGCCGTTCCGCTTTTTTAGGATGATGTGGATGCACCCTCACTTCCTTAACACCGGAAATTACTACAAATTTTGATTTTTAAATAACCCCTTGGTATTTTTTACTTTATTCGATAGAAAATGGCACTCGGAATAGAATTACATATCATAGGTCAATTTTTGACATTTTCGTATATGGTTTATTTGAAATTATAACATGCGGTTCATAACCACAATTTTACTCGAAATACCAAGTGTGTGGTATCAAATTATTCGTAAAAATGCCTTTTCCAAATATGCTAATGAAACCATCCTCGTTCCATTTGAAAAAATTGAGATATGATTAAAAATACGATTTGGACATCTTAACAGGCCAGGACAAGACACTATAGACGATCAAATATAGTTTTCCAAGGTTCCTAAAATTAGTCTTTTTAACACAGCCATGGCACTCTAGATTGAAATTTAAAATACATTTTTTTTAACGAGAATATCAAAAGTTGGTTTAAAAAATTCTAATATAATAATTATTGTTGACGACTTCTGATATAGGAATTTTCTTCGACATAAAGTTTTTTTCTTCTAGTAATTCTGGTTTTTAATTCATTTCGTAAAGCCAATATTAAAAAGCAAAGCAAGAATTTCCATTAACATACAAACTGGATAAAATTTTCTCATATTTCTGTCAGCATGAGAAAAAAACAATATGGCGATCGATATCTATACTAATAATATAAAATCCTTAAGTGACTGGCTCACTGATTAATCACGATCCTCAAACCACTAAACGTAAGAAGCTCAATTTTGGCATACAGGTTGATCCTAGCGTGTAGAGGTTCGATAAGAAGGGATTTTTCGAAATTCCAGTTCCAAGGGGGTGAACCCACCCCTCAAATATTACAATATTTTTTATTTAGAAAACGGTCAAGTTTCCGATAAAACGCTTAAACACGTATATTTTATTTTGTTGTTTTACATATTTTAAGATTTTTTAAAAATTTATACAGCGTATTTCATAAAATATGACCATTGAGTAATCACGATTTTTTGCTTGATTAAACTGCTTGACGTTTAAAGCTGATTTTTGGCAAACGGATTGACTGTGAGGTGTAGAGGTTCGATAAGGAGGGGTTTCTCGAATCTCAAATTCCAAGAGGTTGAAAACGCCCCTCAAATATTACAATATTTGTTATTTAAAAAACGGTTAGTCTTCGAAAAATCCGTTTGCCAAAAATAAGCTTTTTATGTCAAGCAGTTTAAGCAGAATTGTGGTTACTCAATTACCCAACCTTTTGGAACACCCTGTATGTTTTTTAAAAAATTTCAAAATATGTAAAAAACAAAATAGATTATGCGTGTCCAAGCGTCTTCCCGAAAGACTAACCATTTTTTAAATAACAAATTTTGTAATATTTGAGGGGCGTTTTTACCCTCTTGGAATTTGAGATTCGAGAAACCCCTCCTTATCGAACCTCTACACCCCACAGTCAATCCGTTTGCCAAAAATCAGCTTTAAACGTTAAGCAGTTTAATCAAGCAAAGAATCGTGATTACTCAATGGTCATATTTTATGAAACACCCTGTATAATTTTTTTAAAAATCTTAAAATATGTAAAACAACAAAATAAAATATACGTGTTTAAGAGTTTTTTTCCGAAAAACTCAACAGTTTTTAAATAAAACATATTCTAATATTTGAGAGTGGTCTCACACCCTTAGAATTGGAGTTTCGAAAAATTCCTTCTTATCGAACCTCTACATTCTAAAGTCAATCCGTTTTCCAAAAATCAGCTTTTTACGTCAAGCGCTTTAAGCAAGATCGTGATTGATCAATGACCAGATTTTTCGAAACACCCTGTATACATTTTTAAAAAATCTTAAAATATGTAAAAAACAAAATAAAATATACGTGTTTACGCGTTTTTTCGGAAACTTGACCGTTTTTTAAATAAAAAATTGGCGCCGGGAGGCACGTATAGCCGCCCATACTAAAATATGTTAATAAAAAGTTGGTAGGCAGTTCTTTTAGTTTCAAAGTAAAGGAATTCTTTCAATTTTTTTTATCTCAAAAACTGCGACTTTGACTGATTTTGATGTTATTACAAATTTTGTTGCAAATATTATTCCTAATCTTAATTTGAAAACCGCGTTTCGCTAGCTACTGTAATTTTGGAGTTACGATTTTAAAAAATTTTTAACCCCCTCCCATACCCCCTTACCAACCCCCCACCCCCACCAAAAATTAATGGCCAGATTCTGGGGTGTCACAGTATTTTTGTGCCAAATTTGGTTAAAATCGGTTCAGCGGTTTTTGAGTTATCGTGTTACAGACGAACAGACAGACAGACAGACACCATGAAAATATTTTGTATTTAGGTAATTTATGACCCAAATAACTCATTTTGAGTGAAATTAAAAAAACTTTTTTTGCCGATCTTAATAGCCTACCATACCTATTGTTATGGTCGGCTAAAAATATTGTAATATTTGAGGGGTTGTTTCACCGCCTTGGAACTGGAAAAATCCCTTCTTATCGAAACTCTACACGCTAGAATCAACCTGTATGCCGAAATTGAGCTTCTTACGTTGAGTGGTTTGGGCAGGATCGTGATTAATCAGTGAGTCAGTCACTTAAGGATTTTATATATTAGTATAGAGTATAGATAATACTGAACCAAAAAATAAGTTTTTCTTGGCTTGTTCGTGTATATCATATATCAGTCACATTGACTAATTGAGTTTCAGGAAAATCTGTAACTATTATCTCTACCATTTATACTTATTATTAAAACTAAAATTCAAGTTTTGTTCTGAACCATGTTCTGAACTATGCCACAAAACATCCCCCTTTAGAACTTTTTCTTTAATGGCCATAAGCGGGAGTAAAAGCCCAACCGCCCGAACAAACACTAGAGGCGCCACCGGTCATCAAATGGTGTAAAAATTGCGAACATTTAATCATCTAATTTTGACACAAGGGGTCGCGCTTAACTTTTGCAATTTTAATTCAATATTCATTGTTTTCAAACTATATTATTCGACTATGTTTTCTTAGTATAAAGTTGCATTATAGTAATTTAAATTAAATTACATACATATTTAAGATTCAAATATTATGATATATCTGTCAGTTGCCGTCTAAAATGTCATCTTGATAACAAAAAGTTAGTTATTGTCAAAAGTAGTTAAAATCATGTTAAAATATTAAAATTTACAAGTTATAATTAGATATTTTATATTATTTCAACAACACATAATAGTACAGCGTAATGTTGATATACAGGTCTAAAACAAAAAGTACCGTTATATTTTTCAGTTTTCGTTGTCAGCCGCGGAAGTTTCAGTGATTTTAGTGTTGTCGGATATTTTTATTTGTGAAATAGAAATGTTGCGTTTGGATTGCAAAACTAAAAGTGGAAGTTTTATTGCAATGTAAGTAAGCGTTTGTCCATTTTATATTTTACTTTTTTCATACCTACGACAAAAATACATATATTGAAAATTTATAATTCGTTTTATTTAAAAAATGTTAGAAAACAAGCTTGTAATCCTGTAATTAACATAATTGTTATGTAATATATTCCATTTGAATGTAATATATTACTTTACAATTAAAAAAAATGTAAATTTAAAAAATGTATTAAAAATATATACAGGCATTAATTGAAATTTTTTGAGTGCGAACAAACACGAGAGGCGCTTTATTATTTACTTTCATTTCTTAACATGACAGACGAAGTTCTAAAGGGGGATGTTTTGTGAACTATGCTTAACCGACATAAAATGTTGATAATTGTTACATTTTGTCATGGCAATAATTATGATGTTATAGCCATAGATAAATGCAACAAGTTTAGATTGGAAAGCCTGTAAAAAATTTTGGTCGCGAAATTATTTTTGGTCGCGACCGTTATACGCGATCTGGCGCTGCTATAGCGGTCGCTAAGAACAACGGCAAACAAAAACAGAAAACTCTTGTCAAAGTCAGAATCTTCAAAAATCATAATAAGTTTAGATTGGAAAGTGCCCATAAGGACAATGTAAACACTATTTGGCGCTATTCTTGCAACGGTCGCGACCCAAAACTTTTGAAAATTTCGGAGCGGTTCGGCTTTTTCCGGAATTATATCGCCAAATATTGTTTATTCAAATTCATTATTATTTTCGTTTAATTTTATCTTTAATTTTATAAATAAGATACAGCGTGTTGCATACAAGAAACTTTATTTTATATAAGGACGCATGTATTAAATACCTATGAAACATTGGAAACCGACGTTATACCACGATCCACGATGGTTTTTGCAGTTCACAGTTCACAGCACAGCTTTTTAAGTTTTTAATGCCACTTTTTCACAATTATCACCGGTTGGAGTAAATAAAACTTGAATTAAACTCACAAGATAGCAATAATTACTTTGAAAATGAACGCTATAAACACTTTTCAGAATTTCTTTAATGAGAGCGGTTTAGATTTTGAAAGATTATTATGATCAAATTATGATTTTTGAAGATTCTGACTTTGACAAGAGAAAATTATTTCTGTTTTTGTTTGCCGTTGTTCTTAGCAACCGCTATAGCAGCGCCAGATCGCGTATAACGGTCGCGACCCAAAATAATTTCGCGACCTAAAATTTTTACGGACTTTCCAATTTAATAATCTTTCAAAATCTAAACCGCTCTCATTAAAGAAATTCCGAAAAGTGTTTAGAGCGTCCATTTTCAAAGTAATTATTGCTATCTTGTGACTTTAATTCAAGTTTTATTTACTCCAACCGGTGATAATTTTGAAAAAGTGTCATTAAAAACTTAAAAAGCTGTGCTGTGAACTGTGAACTGCAAAAACCATCGTGGATCGTGGCATAACGTCGGTTTCCAATGTTTCATAGGTATTTCATACATGCGTTCTTATAAAAAATAAAGTTTCTTGTATGCAACACACTGTATTTTATTTATAAAATTAAACGAAAATAATAATAAATTTGAATAAACAATATTTGGCGATATAATTCCGGAAAAAGCCAAACCGCTCCGAAATTTTCAAAAGCTTTGGGTCGCGACCGTTGCAAGAATAGCGCCAAATAGTGTTTACATTGTCCTTATAGGCACTTTCCAATCTAAATTTATTTCATTTATTTATGGTTATAGCATAACTGTATTAAAAATATGGGTAAAAATAGAAGAAAATGGAATAAATCGCAAACTATTAGAAAGAGGTGTATGATATACTTAATAAAAGTTGAAGAGTTTTGTAAAATCTATCAGAAAAAATAACAATATATAGGGTGTACCATTTAAAAAAATTGAATTCCCTTAATTGCAAGTAGTTGAAATTCAAAAATATATTTTGAACACTATGTAGCATAATTTTAGCATCTATAGCATAAACTTACCATAAGCTAACCCCGACATAACACTTAATGATAAGTGGCTGGCACTCATTGCCGTCAAAGTTTGTTTTCGATGAAATCTGTCTACAAATAATTAGTCCTCACTAAAAACGTTCTAATGAAATCTAGTGACTATGATAATTTTAAAATTCCCTATGAAAAACGTTCACAGTATAAAATTCTACACAAATATTTGAAACATCTTAATGAAATATGTCTTACCATAAATTACAATAGTTGTGATTCTGGAGCTTTGTGGGGTATGTGTAGGGTGCATACTTTGTAACAAAATGCATGGTTTCACAGAAATCTTCCTATTTTTAGCACCACAAAGATGCACGGCTGTAGATACAACATCACGATCAAATTCATCGACCACATCCGTGCATCTATTATTTCTCAGATTTATTATACAATTTAATATCATTTGAATTTCAGCATTCTCACTTATATTAGGATACGTTTTCATTTCAGTAATTTCACCAACATTTAAAGCATTAAAATTTATACAACTTAAAAGTTTCAATACTACTTTAGTTGGATTGATATTCTCACTTTGATTTTGATTTTCATAAAACCAGCTCATTGCTGTTTGAAAAACTATAAATTCTTTATGCGAATTCAAATAAATATGACCTAAATATTGACAGAGTTCTTCTAAATTAAGTTCTAAAATACTATCACTCTCACAAATCTCCATAAAATTTTCTAATGCCATACATTTTGCTTTTAAATACAAAGGAATTATGTCTAATAGCTCTGCCGTTTTCCATGTGCGTAAAGAAGTTGAAGGAGACAATACAATCATTATTCGCTCTTCACATAATTGCTTAATTGAATTAAATTGTAACATACAAGCAGCTTCTAATAGTAAATAAGTTTCGTTTAGGTCTAGAGTAACTATGTCGGATTCTTCCCATAGAATTAACATTATCAGGTTAAAAGCTTTTAAATCCACTCCCTAAAATGATTATTCTATATGTTTATCTTAAATCAGTAAAATAGCTTTACAAACCTGAAGTTTTATATTATTCTCTGAACTTTCTTTGAAGTACCCTTTGAACATTGCAGAGAAATAATCACTATTTTTAATTAATAATTCTTTATCACACTCAACAGCACTTCCTTCAATATCAAATGTAACTATTTCCTTTTTATTTTCCATTATAACTGATAGTAAGTACCATAAATAGAGAATGAATTAAAAAATATATAGAATCACAATATAATACACTTTTCCATTGATGTCAACAAGTATAAAAAAAGAAAGTGGAAAGAGGTCAAGTAGCAGGTAGTAGTAATAGTTTGCGAAGAGGAAATTACTCTCTCTTCATAGGCTTGGGTCCTTTTCGTCCCATTAGCCAGCTCATGCTCATTATTTTTATTAGATTCCCAATTGTCTGGTTCCATTGGCCATATTGGAAATCCGGTCGGTCTATTCTTATAGATGTGGTTCCTACTTATTTTCTTTATTATATGATCCCGGGACCCGGCAGTCTCTTATATCTGCACGGATACTTTTATTAATTTATTTTTCCTGTCAGCAACTGTAAAAAGGTTTGTTAAACATATAAGGTATATAGACACTTCTTGCTCCCGCCTGACGGAGGAGCTTTCACAGATGAACCCGTCGGATGAAAGATGAAATGGGAATCACAGAACAGATTAAAAATGGGAATGGCGAATGGGTGATTGTTGGAAAGAGCATAGAAACAGCTTAAATTTTCCCTAAAATTTTCCAAACACTGATCCACAAAACACATACACAAAAGTAAAGTCCCTAGATATATAAAGTACCGCAATTGGTTTGTTTATGGAGGCTAGAAGGAGGAGGCGAATCGACAATGGGCATATTTGAAATTTCTGTCCCTACTTTAAAGCAAGTTTCTCGGTTTGACACCAGAGGCACTGTAAGCGCGTTAGATTGATCATTTGCATTGTTAGAATACGATTTAACTGTGTTTTTACTAGTTTTTTTTCTAAATTTATAGTTATTTTATTGAACTATTAGCAATGTAACAATGAGTGTGATTAAAAAAAACCTATATAATAGATCTTGCTTCGTACCTGGCTGTATAAGTGGGACTTACAGTGGAAAAAAAAGGCAAATAAAGAACGGGGGTGAAATAAACCCAAGCCTTTTCAAAGGTCCTAATAATGTACTTAAGTGGTTTAACTATTTATTTAAAAAATATGGATAGATGTTAAGAAAAACATTCAAATTATATACTGTCAGTGTACAGATTAATTTTAAATTCAAATTAATAGAGAATATAGCCTAAAATCAACATCTGCGTAACATAACCTAGGAGGCCTTGTTATAAAATAAAAATAATTTACCTACTAGCTGGTGGCTAAAATTACCTCTGTTGATATGTATTAACCACCATTTGAACAGTGCTATTGAAAGTGAATTTACGCCAAAGCAATATGGTATTCTAATATAAAATAATTTACATACCCGAGATGCTTCATTTAAATTGAAAAATAATCTACAGTGGTTGAAGGACTTTTGATTGTGTATATAAATCATTTAGAATAGTTTTTATGAATAAGCTCTTTAAATTAATATGTAGGTATATTGTAGCCAGGTATTTATTTAGAATGCATTTTTAAATTATAATTCTTTGTCTTCTTGATATAACATGTTCCTGTTATATTTTTTTTGGTATAGATGCTAAATTGTATATTAAATTTATATACTGTATATTTTATTTATTAAATTTAGTGGAATTTAGTCAGTTAATAAAACAAAAGTTGTAATGTATTAATATTGCTAAATAAATAAATATATGATGAAATAAGTCAGTGTATATACATATTTACATAAATTGAGTTCATTATCTTGAATTTAATTGTCTACTTAAACAGTGACAATTTGCAAAACTTTGCTTTATGACATTAAAACTTAAATTCAGAAAATCTAAAGAAAAAACGCTATTGGACACAGGAAACATTTCAGCTTAATCTACCTATTCTCTGGTTTCAGCTATAAAAAGTTATGGGATAGATAACATTGATCAAAGGGTGCAACAGTAGTGTTCATCTTCACTTTCCATTGAAGTTATTCCTGATAAAATACTTTTAATTTTCGTGATTCGGTTTCTGTCAATTGCGGTAAAACCACTACTAGTTTGTTACGAAAGTTTTTAATGTTTATTAAAATGATATCACACTGAACTGCTTGTAAACATATCAATTTCAAATGTTTTTATGAAAAACGATTAGTAAATCACTAACACAATCACACCATAAACTATTTAATTCGCATTTGTCATCAAGGAACAATTACTGTTTACATCAAATCAAAGGTTGAACTGGTGATATTTGTTGCTGGAAATTCTATCTTTTTTGTACAACAGTTATAGGGATTTATTTTAGCTGCTTATATTCTTCTTCGGTCGTGTATGCACTAAAAAGAACCATATAATGAAACAATTTTATAATAACAACTTAGAAAAAGAATATCTAAAACCGGCATCTGATATAACCTAACTTCTAACTTACTTTTCAAACTCAAATTTAAGGTTTTGTATTCACAATTTTTAGCCACGCACATTGTTCAATTAGAAAAAACACGTTTCTAAAAGGTAAATCTGGTAAAAATATGCCCAAATATTAACTGAACTCTATAATTTGTAACAAAATAGTAATTCTTGCCATAAGAAGCTGTGTATTTCTCAATCTGTCGGATCACATGCGCCCCTAACGGCGATTTTCGAACTTCATTTAGATCTCAAAAACTGGGCCCATAATTTTTTCGTTCGATTCGCCTCCTCCTTCTAGCCACCATAGGTTTGTTCAATGTTATTGGCGCCAAAATGGCGGATTTTTGGGGTATTTCTGGGAAAACTGTAGTGGTAGGACTGTTTAAATGTCACATTTGTCTGAATTTGTCATGTCTATGGAGGCTAGAAGGATCAATACATATAATCAAAACGGTATGGTGTGGATCCGGTGGCTGACCTTGAATCGAGTTTTTGCTGCTTATAGTCACAGACACTACGCATGCGCACATCTTCGATGTTGCCAGATTGTGAGTTATTTTGGAATTATTTTCAATAGAAAACAAATATGTGCTTTTCAGTGTTTTTTTGTCAATATGTACCGTATGATCGAAAAAACGGCGTCCAGTTGTCTGGGAAATGACGATTGAGGACATTTCCCATGTAAAATGACAGCGATCTTCATTTCATAGTCATCGGTGACGCTATTTTTTTTTATAGTATGCGGTATATTATTTATATTATTATTTTAATATTTCGCACAACACGTGAACGCTTATTATGTATTTTCATAGTCAATAAAATTATATAGAAATAAAACTCTAGATTCCTATCTAGATTATTATGTTACGTTTAAAAAGTGCTTTATTAAAAATTCGGGAAATTAAAAGGGATGTGTCCAAGTTTTTTCTTTTTTTTAAGCTGTAGCTCCATGTCATGTTCATAATAGGTTTTTTTTAACATTTCATCAAAACTACGGAGGCCTTAAAAGGCCTTTTAGCCTCCGTAACTAAAATTGTAGAATCAGCTTCAGCAACATTAACATCATCAGTTACCTTGTTTAATTCTGCTTATACATATATTGCATTAATTTTTCTGCTACATTAAGATTTCTCTATTCTTACACCTAATTTATGTGATTTTCTTAGCATATATGATTTATAAACCATATTTTTCCTAATGGAAGGATGGAATAGGATATGCAAAATTAAGATATTTTAACTTTTATTTTCCAGACCAAGCATAATATATAGTATTAAGATTAAGACATAACAAATATTATAAGAAAGATCTTAATATAAATCACAAACTAAGTCTTAATTTAGTCTTGTATTTCTATTATTATTATTATTCTTATAAAACTAATAAGATCAAAACTCAACCTTCACCATATTGTCAAGATTTGGCATTATAGGAAACAAGAAATTACAGTAAATTAAGAAAAGAATAACAAAGTACACGATATTAAATACTGTAATGTATTGTTAAGGTCAAGGTGTATTACTGGTTGCATAACCGCAACGGTGCATTGAGGAACCTGGCGCATTCGCCAGAAAGTAAAGAAAATTATAGAATTCTTTAGAAAAATCTAGAAACAACCGCCAGGGGGTATATAAGGCCCGCGCTTTGACAGTTGGAAAAAGTTTAAAAGTTTGAAGTTAAAAGTTTAAAGTTTTGAAGTTTGAAGATCTGAAGTCTGAAGTCTGAAGTTTGAAAATACCGCGAAATACCGTTAGAGTAATAGTAGTTGCATAAGTTGAGTTGTAAATAGTATAAGTTGTGTGTACAGAGTGAAACAAATAAATTCGTTAAGTATTTTATTGTGAGTTTAAATAGTGGACCCACGGAATCCGTAACAATTGGTGTCGGAAGTGCGATTCAAGAGGATTTTAAGAAGAAATTAAGTGGATTGGAAGATTTTGGACCGGATTAGAGTATTTTTATGGTTGGTACAAGGGAACAAGCGAAGAAAATGGAGGAAGTAAGCAAACTATTAGGCGATTTTATGGAGAATATGAGAAGAGAAAAGGCAGAAGAACAAGAGAGGTTGCGAAAAGAGAAAGAAGAGGAACAAGACCATCTACAGAAAATACTTATGGAAAATCAAGAGAAAATGTTGGGTAATTTGGAAATTCGTTTCGAGGAGCGACATCGTAGAGAAAAACAAGAAGAACAGGACCGGCTTGAGAAAATTTTCGAAGATTTGAAAATTCAACGACAAAAAGACAAACAAGAAGAACAGGACCGGCTTGAGAAAATTTTAGAAGATTTAAAAATTCAGCGACAACAAGACAAACAAGAAGAGCAGGACCGTATTCAACAGAGTATCGAAATTCGGAACGAAGACAAGAGACCCACTTCCAGAAGTCGTAGTAGATCTGGAGGAGCGCCTTCAGCAGAAAATGGAAAAATTAGAGATGGACCTACAGAAGACCAAGGTACAAGTAAGGACACCTGGCGTTTCTGGAACTGCGAACCTCAAGGCACCGACCTACGATGGACAAACGACCTGGACAATGTACCACCGTCAGTTTGAAGCAGCCGCCGCTGCCAACGGATGGACTGATCTCAGGAGAAAGCAGCGGCACTTTGTCATCGCGCTGCGTGGCCCTGCCCTGGAACTGTTGCAAACTATTCCTGTAGCCCAACAGCAGGAATACCAAACTTTGGTCGCTGCACTGGACAGAAGATATGGCGACCAACATCGACGCCAACTTTACCAGGCCCAGATCAAGACACGCCTGCAGAGGTCCGGAGAGAGTTCAGGAATTTGAAGCAGACTTACGTCGGCTGGTACACCTAGCATACCCAGAAGCACCGAAAGGGTTTAGGGAGGAACTCGCTGCTCAGTGCTTTATCAGCGGACTGAGGGACAATGAATTACAGAGGGCGCTGCAAATATCGCGATTTTCTACCAGCAGCGAAGTACTCGTCAGGGCGCTGGAAATAGAAGCTGCATTTAGCGCCATTCCTAAACCGAAGATAGGCTCGGTAACGGTTGAGAACAGCCAAAGAGTTCTCACATACGTTTGGAGGAGATGTTTAATAAACTATGTGAATTACTAGTGAACAAGAGAGTCAACAACACCCAGACAGAGAACCAAAGAAGATTCCAGGACATAAGTTGCTATAGATGTGGCAGGAATGGCCACATCAAACGGATTGTCACATCCAAATGCGATTCCGTTTACCATCGAGAGAGACATAGGCACCAGGAAATCAACACTAATGAGCGAGTATTGGCTGAAGAAAACAGAGCCCCTAGGATGTTTTCCGTTAGGAGTCTAGGAAAAACCGCTGACAGTTTGGTGATCAACAGGAAGGTCAATGGTAGAAGAATTCGAATGACTGTGGACACAGGCGCTATGGTATCGTTGGTGCGGACTAACTCAGTGCAAGGATTGAAGATGATGCCTCTAGAAGAAGAGTGTATTTACGTACAGTTACGGGGAATGGCCGTTGTACGGGGAGAGGCTTTCATGGAACTGGAGTTAGGGAATTTGAAGTTTCGGCATAGCGTTTTAGTGGCAGACATTGAAGATGATTTTATCATGTGTATGGATGTGATCAAGTCAACATGGTTTTTCGTTCGATCACCATAGAAACATCCTGAAAAATCGGAAATGAGGAATTTTCTGTATCTAAAGAGAAAAGACCAGGAAATATGGAAGCAAGATCAGCGGAAATTGTGATGATACCTGGTGATGCCAAGAAGACTGTGTCGGGAAAATGGAGAAAACCCCTGAGTGCCGTGTAGGACGGGTACAAATTATCGACAACGAGCCAGATCGACGACGAGCTACTTTGGGCAAGAAAATGAAACATCGCGAAAGCACTATCAGAGTAAGGAATTTTAAACTGAGAACTGACGAACAATGGACGACGATACAGTTGAGGAAAGATCAAATGGAAGATCCAGACATCGGAGCAATACTACGGCTCAAGGAAGGTAACGGCGAGAGACCACCGTGGCAGGATATTGCGGACAGAGGGCTCGTTTTCAAAGCTCTCTGGGCTCAGTGGAATTCACTGGTGATTGAGAATGGATTGATAAAGCGCACGTGGGAAAGTGCGGATGGCAGGACAGTAACAACTCAGTTACTGGTACCAAGGAAGAAAGTCACCCAGGTATTGGAAGAAATTCACGGTGGTAAAACTGGAGCCCATCTTGGAGTAAACAAGACCTTGAGTAAGCTGAGAGACCGTTTTTACTGGGTGGATTATTGCGAAGATGTTAAGAAATGGTGTCAACGTTGTAAGATTTGCGCAGCTAGACAAAGACCAAGTACTCGATCTGGGGAAGAAATGGAACAGGATAGCGTTGGACTGTCGTTCGAAAGAATCGCTAGGAAGGAAAGATTATTGGACATTCATAAGGCCGTTAGAAGTAAGATTGCGCTAGCCAGTGACCGGATGAAAGCTCATTACGACCTCAGAGCTAATTCTACGGGATTTCAACAGGACGATAGGGTATGGTTGTATAACCCACAGCGCAAGAAAGGAAGGTCCCCAAAGTTAACTCCAGCATGGGAAGGTCCTTATACAGTCATCAAGAGGATAAATGATGTTGTGTACCGGATTCAACGCAGCCCTAGAAGTAAGATGAAAGTAGTTCATCTGGATCGATTGAAGAGATACCAGACAGGAAACCTTGATCGGGACGATCAAATTTGAGAAGGGGGCAATGTTAAGGTCAAAGTGTATTACTGGTTGCATAACCGCAACGGTGCATTGAGGAACCTGGCGCGTTCGCCAGAAAGTAAAGAAAATTATAGAATTCTTTAGAAAAATCTAGAAACAACCGCCAGGGGGTATATAAGGCCCGCGCTTTGACAGTTGGAAAAAGTTTAAAGTTTAAAAGTTTGAAGTTAAAAGTTTAAAGTTTTGAAGTCTGAAGATAGTCTGAAGTCTGAAGTTTGAAAATACCGCGAAATACCGTTAGAGTAATAGTAGTTGCATAAGTTGTGTTGTAAATAGTATAAGTTGTGTGTACAGAGTGAAACAAATAAATTCGTTAAGTATTTTATTGTGAGTTTAAATAGTGGACCCACGGAATCCGTAACAGTATTTTACGATACAAACCATCTCCCTTCTAAAGAGAAAAAGATAAAACATAAAGCTTATTTTAGTCTTATCAACACACTCTTCGATAAAATCCACTAACTTGATATCTATGCTTGATATTTTTAAGAAATTATGATACAAACATTAATTATAATCAAAGTATATTATATTAGTAACATTATATAATAGGTAAAATGTTACCTCTATCTCCGATTGCCGTTTATTGTTCTATAATAAGACCCGTCATGGTAGTACTTCAAAACATCAATACATGCATATAATCAAAAATATTGTTGCCTGTAAATAACTAGAAATTAAATAACTTGAAAGAAATAAAATAATTCTAATAAGTTTAAAACCATTAAGAAAAAATCCGTAAATGATAATTTTTAATTCTAATGTAAATATATAAATAAATATTATTATTACAATTTTATATATTCATAATACTTTCATTTCACAATCTTCATTATCTTTCTTACCTTAATTTTGGATATCAAGATAAATCTGAAATTATATTCTATTATTATTGATTGACACTGAAAAAAAAATTTCAACTGCAAATAATTGGAAAATTAACTGCAATTTGGCAACATCGACGATGTGCGCTTGCGTAGTATTGATGATCAAATGCAGCAAATATGGGCTTCTCGGTAGGCCATTCACCATGATATGGCCGAGGACCGCGGTTCGGATTACGCGTAAACAAAGTAGGCCCCGTCCAGATTAGCCCTGGCAGCAAAAAGGATACGTTAACTGAAATGTTTTTTTTAATGCAAAATGCAACGATTATTTACTTTTCAAAATTAACTCATAAGTCTTGGTATATTTTTTGTTTATTATTTTTTTAAAAACCGGTACGGTAAAGTACGGGGTATACTTTGTAGTTAAAATAACCATATATAAAGGAAGTTAATCACAATTAAGTTAATGAACTCATTCTGTATATGTATGTGTTTTGTGGAACTCATTGAGTATATTGTTTAATGGCATTCTGTTTTCTGTAGACGAATCCAACTAATGACCAAGTGCTACAATATCAAACTTAAAATATAATACCATGGCATGCAAAGCCTACAACATAAAGTGTAAAAAGCAAGACAGTTTTAAAAACGCATTTTCCAATTACTTAGACAAACAAATTCTTTGTGATGTAACCCTTACAAGTGAAGGAAAGTTCTTCAAAGCTCACCGGTTTGTTCTAGCGAGTTGTTCGAAATATTTCGAGAACATATTCCTCGAAATACCGCCTAATAGTTATCCTGTGGTTATTCTTAAAGACATTACCTCTTTAGAAATAGAGTTTTTACTAAGTTACATGTACAAAGGAGATGTTACTGTTCCAGAAAACTTTATGTCAGCATTTTTACAAACTTGTAAGGAACTAAAAATCGAAGGACTCTACACTATCAATATTGAAAATTCATCATTGATAGACGAGAACACAGAATATACCAAGGATGAGAAAGCCAGTTCAAATAATGATGTATTTCATTCTCTTATGTCAAAAACTGTTGAAGAAACTATTATCAGTGAAAAGCAAATTGAAAATAAGAATGAGAAGCAAACCAGTGTATTAGATAGCCAACCAGTTGATTCACAGAAAAGTTTTGTATTTAGATTAAATCAGCCAATAAATGTCTCTAAAACCCCCCCTGCCCTTAATTCTGAAGCTGCTACTATTGGAGAAAAAGAAGCAGAAATCATGGAAGTGTCAGATGATGAAGATTCAGATGAAAACATAGAATTGCAACAACCTCATACAGAAGAAAATCATTCTGACAGTGAGGATCTTTCTGATAACTCGAACAAACAAGGAATTTCTAATACTAATCAACAACAGTCCAATCAGGAATTAGAAAATAATTCAAGGGATGAATCGGACGATAGTGATAATAATTGGGGTGTATACATATCAAAAACTTTTGATAGCTTGATGGAGGTGCCTCAAAATATGGTAAAGTTGTATTGTCCCCATTGTAAACGTTGCGTGAAAGACAATGTTTTTAAAGAACATATTCAGGAACATCATAGACAGTATGTGCTTAATAGAAGGAGACGCAAAAAGTGAAATTTTATAAAGTTTGATTAGTGCTCTAATATTACTTAAATGTTCCAATTCACTCTTTGAGATTATATCTATGTCATAAGCATTGAATTAAAAGACTAAGGAATGTAATTCCATTAGTTCTCAATCCAAACATACATAAAACACGTAATGCGAGTTTATATGCAACCGTAGTGCGTCATCCGTCGTTTCGTCACTCCACTCATATAATCAGATTGAAACACTCCCATCTTTGGCAGCCACAATTAATGGATAAACACCGTTAATTAAAACAGAAATACACTACTTTATTCCTTGGTCTTTTAAACCACATAATTATTTAATATTATAAAAACCAACAAACAACATTATTACTAATTTTTATCAACATTTTTATTTTATTTTTTGTTTATTTAATAAATTATATTTTTCTATGTAAAATAATATATAATAATCCCCATATATGTATATATAAATCATTAAACTAAAATATAGTGAAAATATTTCAAAATAAGCTGTACGCCAGCTGTACGCACACTGGTGCGATCACGATCTCCACGCAGCCGCGGCCAAAAGTTGCTGAAGAATACATACACAAATACATCAGGGTTGCCACAAGCTACACAATTGTGTATTTTGCTACACATTTGCTTCCATGACTGCACAGCTACACCACAATGGCCTGTGCTACACATTTTGAGAATTTACATATTTATTATAAAAAATAATACCAGAACAGTAAATCAGCTGACAAAAGCTGTTTTTTTTTTGCTTTTAAGTTATCTAAGTTACATTAAAGCAAGTGAACTTTAAATTTTGAACTGACAAATATCATTTTCGGTCATCTATTGGTCGAGTCAAAAACGGTAAATAGACAGGATTGCTTAATTCCTTAAATAATACATAACAATTTGGATGTATACACCGTATACCTATAATTTTCAAGATTTTATTGCTTGGTGTAAATTCTGTATTCTTATTGAGTTGACCACTCTATATAAAGTAGATACTCCATGTTTTATAGTTTTATTTCAAATAATATTTCACAATACACATTCTACGATTATTGCATTTTTACTGCTTCCTTATTTCTTGTCGTCTAGATGACATTCTCTCTTCTTTTTTTGCTAGTCTGCTAGCCTATAAATTTTTTATACTTCCTTTTCATATTCCATTTCTATATGTTCTTTGACCTCTTCTCTCAATTTTTCAGGTAATCGAGTACTTTTCATTCCCTACTGTCAATAACCTCACTTGTCCATCTTCAAATAAATCTTCAATCCTCGGAATATATCCATATAATAATTCAGGTGTTTTTTCGCCAGTGAATTTATTCACAGATGTATTTATAGCTCTTTCTATATTCTTAATATATGTATCCCATTTGTTGTCATCATCCGCACAAGCCAAAGCCAGTATCATTGGAATAATAATGCTGTTCAACCATTTATGGTTGTATCACACAAATTCACTCAAATGTTCTGCTATTAAAATGGACACCGTCTTGATAATTTGGCTTATTGTAGGTTGGCTAACACCATGCAAGTCTCCACTTACTATCTGAAAATTAGAAGTCGCATAAAAACCGTAAACAAATCAATAATTGAATAACGGGGGGAATAGGTAAACCATATGATTAGGTTTTTGCAAGTCTTCAATTACAAGAGGTAAAATAGTTTCTGTAATTGTAGCCTTGCTAAACCTATATCGGTATTTAAATTCCCCTCGCTAAACATTTCTATTGGATTTCCTGCATCCCTTATATATCGTTTTGGAACTCGAAGACGATTTTCTTCTTCCACATGGTCCAAAATATCCTCAAACTCATCTAACATATTCAAAACTGTTTAATCAGACAAAACGGATTTACAAGGGATTTACTTTGTTTACAAAAAAAGTTGGGTTAAGAAACTATCCACAGATCACATAAACTATCCAAAATGAAAATCGCAATCTCCAAAATGACGTTTGCTTGTGTATTCTGTGGATTCCGCTCTCAAGAGCCCAAGACCGTCTTGGCGTCTCGAGACGCAACTATAAATACGGGCCATGGTGTATAATTCTGTGAGGTGGCATCCACATTATCCTAAAAAAAGCGGATCGGCGGCGGTGTATCGGCGTAACGACCTTGAATCGATTTCCAGCAATTCTATTGGTTTTCTATTTCCAGCAATTCTATTGATGTGATCTGTCAGAAATTTCAAATTCGAAATCTGTCAAATTCACCTGGCAAAAATTTCAGCCAATAGAATTGCAGGAAATCGATTCAAGGTCGTTAAGCCAATGCATACGCCGTTCCGCTGTTTTAGAATAGTGTGGATGCACCCTACGTACCAAAACTTGGTAAAAAGGTAAATAGAGAGATCACATGACCCCACATATTTGCATAAAAAATGTACAATCCCACTTAAAAAAGTACAATTTCGACACCATTTATAGTACAAAAATTTTTGCCCTTGTAACAACGCTGAAGACCGCGCCAGAACTGTTTCCAATTTTCCGGTTTACTGTCACCCCCCTTTTATATATCTAGATGATATCTAGGGACTTTACTTTTGTGTATGTGTTTTGTGGATCAGTGTTTGGAAAATTTTAGGGAAAATTTATAGCTCTTTCTATGCTCTTTCCAACAATCACCCATTCGCCATTCCCATTTTTAATCTGTTCTGTGATTCCCATTTCATCTTTCATCCGACGGGTTCATCTGTGAAAGCTCCTCCGCCAGGCGGGAGCAAGAAGTGTCTATATACCTTATATGTTTAACAAACCTTTTTACAGTTGCTGACAGGAAAAATAAATTACTAAAAGTATCCGTGCAGATATAAGAGACTGCCGGGTCCCGGGATCATATAATAAAGAAAATAAGTAGGAACCACATCTATAAGAATAGACCGACCGGATTTCCAATTTCCAATATGGCCAATGGAACCAGACAATTGGGAATCTAATAAAAATAATGAGCATGAGCTGGCTAATGGGACGAAAAGGACCCAAGCCAATGAAGAGAGAGTAATTTCCTCTTCACAAACTATTACTACTACCTGCTACTTGACCTCTTTCCACTTTCTTTTTTTATACTTGTTGACATCAATGGAAAAGTGTATTATATTGTGATTCTATATATTTTTTAATTCATTCTCTATTTATGGTACTTACTATCAGTTATAATGGAAAATAAAAAGGAAATAGTTACATTTGATATTGTGACATATTTAAATAAAAATTGTTCCTAGACCTTGTATTATGATTATGAATGTCCCTAACAAAAGTACAATTATTAAGAAGATGTTTGGGTAATAGATCATTCAACATTTTGTATATAAACACCATTGTATTATGTGTTACCGTTTGTCTTACACTTAACAAATTTGTACTTTTTAACATATCCAGTCTACTTGTAAATTTATTACATCCTATGATTGTTCGAAGGGCTTTGTTTTGCTTTTTTTGCAATACATCAATTTCAGAGTTATTCATTAAAAACAAAAGTGTCGAACAAAAATAGAGATGTGGTGCTATGATGGTTTTATATGCTGTCAGCCTTGCCCATATACTGAGCTCTTTTGAGACCCTAGCCAGTACATTTGTTTTTTTAGCTATCTTATTTGTTATATATTTATAATGTTCTGAGAAAGTCAAATTATTATCTATTATACAGCCCAGGTATTTGATTTGTGATACAGTATCAACGATAACATTATCTATTTGTAAAGCCCTACTGCCCAATAGTGGGCTTTTATTATTCTTATGTCTAATAATCATAGATTAAGTTTTATCTATGTTAAGTTTAAGCGAGTTGTTTTTTAGCCATTCAGATAAGTTATTTAATTCATCATTCAATGTCCTTATTATATTGTCTAAATCAAAACCTGCAAAATAGATTACTGTATCATCGGCAAACATTTGAACATTACATTTTTTTATAATATTTACAATATCATTAATATACAGTATAAATAATGTAGGGCCTAACACGGTTCCCTGTGGCACACCATGTTCAATTTTTTCTGGAGATGATGTACTACCATATTTAGTCACTTGAGTTCGGTTGATTAGATACTCATTGAACCACTTTATTATTCTTGTACCGAAACCAAATTTACTTAGTTTAAGCAGAAGTAGTTATCTATTAATGGTCTCGAAAGCACGCCTGAAGTCCAAAAACACCACACCAATCATTTTTCCCTCATCAATTGCACTTTTCCAGTTAAACAGAACATTTTGAAGCGCACTTTCACATGAGTTTTTATGTCTAAAACCCGACTGATACTCACTCAGAATGTTATTTTCTTCAACATAATGCACTATTTCTTTATTTACACATAACTCGAGCAGTTTTTCATATGGTGGCACAGTGTTGATTGGTCTGAATTCCTCACACTTTATTGTTCCACTTTTCTTTTCGATGGGAACAACTTTGCTTTCTTTCCAATTACGTGGGAACGATCCTGTTTCCAGACTGCAATTAATTGTATTTAGGAATTTGTCACCAATAGTTTCGAATGCTGCTTTTAATATTTTAGTTGTAATACCACCGTACATAAAACTCGATGGTAATACCATCAATGCTGCTTTTTGTATTCTTCATGCCAGTTAAAGTTTTTCTTAGTTCTGACATTTCTATTTTATTAAAATTCTCCATTTTGCAGTCTACTTTTATGTGTTCGATACATTCTTCTTGTGTTTTGTTTGGTGTTATAGTATTTACGATTACTTGAACACTCTGTGTGAAATATTGATTAAAATGGTTACTTATATTATTACCTGTAACAGTGATGTTTTCAAATAGTATTTCTTCTTTTATGCCATTATGATTTTTAGTGTTTAGTAGTTTTTTTAATGTATTCCACATTTCAGTTGGATTATCTTTGGACTCATCTATTTTTGAATTATAATAGTTTTTCTTCGAAATCCTGATTAATGATACTACTTGATTCCTTTTTTGCTTATATTCTTCCCAGTCTTCATTGTGTTTACTTATTACAAATCTTCTATATAGTAGATCTCTTTCTTTTATTTCATTATCTATGTCTTTATTCCACCATATCTGAAGTCTACATCTGAAGCGTTCAGTTGCCAATCCTGGTCCATTAATTTAAGTTGGAAGCCAACTTTATCCATTTGCTTATAATTTCTTATGGCTTTTTTTTGGTACACTTCCTTGTTTTCTAAACAAAAATTTGCAGATATTATTGAGTGGTCCGTTATTTTTGGAGTCAGTCGGATCTCATATTCAAGGTCTTTCTTGTTGGTAATTAGAAGGTTTATTATTGTTGAAGAGGTATTTGTGATACGGGTAGGTTTGTCAATCAGTTGGTAAAGACCATGGTTATTCACAACATCTGGCAACTTATTCGCATAGAAATTATTACCTTCTAGATTAATATTGAAGTCCCCTATCATTATAAATGTAGCATCCATACTTATAGTATCCAGTATTTCATCGAGCCTGTCCAAGAATTCTGCATTGCTTGCACTTGGTGAGTGGTATAGACTGTAAAAATAGAACTTCTGTTTCTCAATTATAGTTTCAACTCCTATTATCCATATGTTCATGTTATCCTCAATTTTTAGTATTTCCTTATACTTATAACCATTTTTGATGTAAATTAGTGTTCCCCCTGTATGTACACTCTCTGATGTGTTGTATATTGCATTATATCCAGTTATATTGATTTCGTTAGGTTGAAAGTCTTCGGTGATATGTGTCTCAGAGAGGCAGATAATGCTTGGCTTATATTGATTTGCTATCCATGTTAGTTCAGTTTTGTGTGACTTAAGGCCTTGAATATTTAGATACATTATAATCGGTCCTGTTCTGGATGGTTCCCTGGAAAATTTCTACCTGGCTGGTTCTGCCTGCGTTCATATAATCGATAATTGTTATTCCTTGATGAATTATAGCCTTGAGCATTGTTTTCATTACAGTAATTGTTGTAATTATAGAATCGCCTGGTCCCTTGAGTGCTACGTTCTTCGTTCCCCTGGCGATGATTGTTGTCATATCGCCTGGGCTCTTCATCATTGCTACGATCACCATTTCTTTGATGTACAGACTTATGTAAACTCATACTCACGTCTTTACGGAAGTTTATCTTCTGAAAACAATATGAGCAGGCCAGAATCTAGGATCGTTGAGGGTTTCATAATAGCTCGATTCTATTCCGATTTTAAATGAGTTGGTTTTTCCTTTCGTTTGAAGTTGCTGAACAGATCACTATCATTCATATTGATTTTCCTTTTTATAAAATTCTTAACTGCCTCTTCATTGGATTTTTCGGTTACTCGCCCGATGTATAGCCACATCCTACCTACTTCTCCCCTAAAATCCTCCAATCCGTCGTTTCCAGATCCTCTGAGGACGGCCCCTGTAGAGCCAATCTCCTTATTAGGCTTCGTGAGATCCCGAAGCTTGGAGCTGTAGAGAGATCCAAGTGCATCACTCACCGCGATCCGAACAGCCTCCGCAGTCACCGGAATACATTCACTCCTTTCAGAAAGCCCACCCTCATCATTAGGTGTTAAGGAGTGCTGTATAGCATGGGCTTTCTGAGTATTGAGTAGCTCCTTAAATGCTTCCAATCTGTTAGTCAGGTTTTCCTTCAGATCATCTAACTTCTGGGTGTAAGCGTTAGCGATTTCATCCTTTAATGACAAGACCGATGCCGTGAGTTGGACCTGCAGTTTTTCCAACTGGTGTTCCATGTGGTTGTTTGGGCTTGTGGGGCTTCTCATCTTCACCATGCTTATACATTGGGAGCACGCGAATAAAAGAATACGCCCTTTCGCCAGTTGAGTGACCCGAGTCTCCGAGGAGGATAGTCCTGAGCATGGGGCACAATGGGCGTCATTGCAGAAATCGCATATTATTTTCGCCTTAACCTCTTCAGCCGAAAGCATTTTATCGCACCTGGAGCAGGACATATCCTATCATATGCACTGAATTGGGATTCTGAAACACTGTGCAGCGGCACGGCAGCAATATGACCTCAAAGGAATTTGAAGGTCAAACGAAAGACTTTTGGAACAAAGTACGATATCTCCGAAAAAAGCGGTTCGGCAGGTCCCGAAACTAATCACACACAACTAGTGGTATTGAGCATTGTTTTTTTATTCTGCTGCTTGGCTGCCGCCTAACAGATTAAAAATAAATGCTCCTGTTAAAAATTGATTTTAAAATTATATAAAAATCTGACTTAAGCCTTTTATAAAAAGACTATCTTTTTAATGACTTAAACAAACTTATAAAGAATATAAGGAATAATATGGAATAGAAAGTTATGCTTTTTTTTAATTTTCTGGTCGTCTTTTATTTATCTTTATTTAATTTGTACATTTATATATACATTTTACATTTATTAACTACCGTATGATCGAAAAAAAACGGCGTCCAGTTGGCTGGGAAATGAACATTGATGACATTTCTCATATATATTTACATATAAAATGACAGCGATCTTCATTCCATAGCCATCGCTGACGCCGTTTTTTCTCGATCATACGGTACTTATGCTCAAGTTATAATATAAAAACTACATTTTATATTATGATTTTAGGCACGATATAGTAGATTATCTGTTGGCCATGGAAGATATCCAAATCAACAGACAAACCTACCCGGGAGATACCCCTCTTCTCCTAGCGTCTTCGAACGGACACTACGATATGGCCAAAAAACTGATTGAAGCAGGCTGCGACGTGAACCTGGCCAACGTCAAGCAACAGACGCCGCTGCATGTGGGCATTCGCCACCCCAACATAACACAACTTCTGATAGAGAGCGGAGCCCACTTGGATGCCTTGGATTACTGCAACGAAACCCCCTTGTTTGAAACCATCCTGGAGAACTGCCTTGAAACGTTTTGTATGTTGCTCTGTTACAATGCCGATCCTAATGTATATTCAGAGAATGGTATCACTCCTTTTATGAAAGCTATCATTTCGGAGAATACGGATATGCAGGAGTTTCTACTAGAATACGTTACGGATTTCCATGCTCGTACAGGTAACTAGACGCTTCAGTTCTATCCATTCAATAAAAAAACTATGGACAGGAATCATGCTTTCTTTCGTAATTGTTGGGAAAACTGAAAATCTTTCGATTTTCACCAAAATTGGTATACACCCTATTTTGAGGTCATAGATTACGAATCTGAACTTTTTTCCTGGCTGTCTCTTATAGTGATGGGCAAAACTGTTACTTTTAGATAACAGTTGAAACCATAGACTTAAAATAAAATATAGACTGAGCATCTCATTCATAAATACCTGGAACATGCGGTCAGACAATGTCTTGTTATTGTTGTGTTATTGTTTTAGGTTATAACGAGTACGACACGAGCGATAGATAGGTTGTCTCTGTCGTAACGGTCGTTCCCTGACCCGGGACTCTGACGAGAAACGCAACACTGTCTTTTGTTTCTCAAGTACACCTGAACTCTCCGTATCATAGCCGGGTAATTTTTTATTTTAATGAAGCTATCATTAAATTAAAAATACATCGTATTTAAACTTTTTTGTATTTTATTAAGATTTAGGAGAGGTTTTTTTGTAATAAAAGTTTAGAAAAAACGATTTAGAGTCCAAAAAGGATAAATATAATAAAATACATGTTATAGAAGAAATTTTATAATCGAAATTACGTAATTTTTGAAATTATTAAAAAAATATTAATTTTAGTCAAACATTTACAACCCCTAATATTAATCAAAACAGGATCTATTCTACAGATATAATAGAATCGGCGACAGGGAGAGAAAAAAAAATGTTATGATTGTTGTACTTTTTTTTCTGGTTAAGCAATGTCTTATTATGTAAATTAGAGAAAACATAAATATGTTCCATTAAAGCAAGGAAGGTGATAGGAAGTGGATAAAATGAAAACTACATTTATTTAACTCGGTACTGTCTTTATTATACCGGGTGCGTCCCAAAAGCGGCTCATCCCCATAATTTTTTTATTTTTTTCAAATAAAAAAACAAGATTTAGTATGTTAGTATATGACATAAATTAGGATTGATTGACGCATTCAATTGTTTTTGGTCACTTCCTGTTTCACCGGAAATGACTATAACTTTTAATTTTTAAATGGCACCCTTGGTATATTTCTACTTTATTCGATAGAAAATGACACTCTGAATAGAATGACATATCATATGTCAACTTTTGACATTTTCGCATATGGTTTAATTGTAATTGTAACACGCGGTTCATAACGACATTTTGACTCGAAATACCAAGTGTGTGCTATCAATATATTCATAAAAAAATACTTTTTCCAAATATGCTAATGAGTCACCCTTGTTCCATTTGAAAAAATTGACATATGATTAAAAATACGATTTGTACATCTTTTAACTGGCCTAGACAAGACACGAAACCCATTAGTCGATCAAAACTATTTTTCCAAGGCTCCTTGATTAAAACTTAGTGTTTTTAACAACACCATGGCACCCTGGATTGAAATTTAAAATACGATTTGTTTTTAAGCGACAATGTCAAAAGTTGACATATGATATGTCATTCTATCAGAGTGTCATTTTTTATCGAATAAAGTAGCAATATACCAAGGGTGCCTTTAAAAATCAAAAGATGTAATCATTACCGATGAAACACGAAGAAACCAAAAACATTTGAATACGTCAATCAATCCTAATTTATGTCATATACCTACTACCATACAAATCTGTTTTTCTATCTGAGAAAATAAAAAAGTTATAGGGATGAGCCACTTTTGAGACACACCCGGTATATTAAAAAATATTGTTTCATAATGTAATATCATTTTAAAATTCTTTATGTTATTTTAGATTCTGAAGATAATTTTAGAATAAACCGGAATATATTTTTAATAAAAACATTATTAATTATTAACAGGGTTATAATAATTATGATTTTGTTACAAAAACCTTTATATAAATGATTATGTAAGAGAAAAAATTCAGATTTTACATTTTACTAAAATATTATCTAAATAAGCGCCTTTCTACAACAACGCCACTGACCCCCAATGGGTAAATTGAGAGTTACCTACCGGTCGAAAGTCGTTTCAAGACTTAAATGGATTATTTAAGTCAAATTTCTTGCAAATTTGGCACTGGCGAACCATATTTTATAGTTCTTGAACAGAAAAAGTAAATAAAATAAACACTTAAGGACTACAAGCTAAGAAAATGCGTTAATATAGCCGGGGACATAGCGGCAACAAAGCTTTACCGCACACGTGCGACGCGTACTACAAGGTAATATCTGAATGAAGAGGCAACCTCGCCTCTAATCGGTGTTGCCATATTGTAAAGAACTTATCCTTTTTAAATAATATCCGACTTATAACTTAGTAGTATAAGAACTATTTAATACATCTATGGAATATTAAAACCTACTTTATTAAAATGTAGTATTAATATCTCAATATGTGTATAACAAGAAAAAAAATATTGATAATATTAAAGACGTGACAACATAGGCTGGATGAGGAAGGCTCGGTCGACTGTACCCAGAAGTAAACATGTGTACAAAAAAGATTGTTTGACCGCGTATAGATGTAAATAGTGTAGTCTATATTTTATTTTAAGTCTATGGTTGAAACTGTTATAGTTATTTATAAAAAACAGCTTAAAAATAACAGATTTCTTTATTTTATTGCTAAATATCTGACAGAGTATGAGGCTGTCACCGCCAGGCGTATCAACGCAGTTGCAAGTTGCAAGTTGCAACAATGACGTGCTCGGTGGTAGTATTTCCAGGGTGTCAAAACATTTCTAAATACCGATTGTTATCTAAAATACCTCTCTAAAAACGGTGGTTGTTTACAAATAAGCGATGTTTACAAATTGCGATATAAAAAAATCCAAAATGCCGCCACTCGTCTATACCTGTACATTCCGACCTACATACGCCCTGCCCCTCTATCTGCCTGAATTGCGTAGCAGTGTACAGGATGCATCTCACTCGACGGGCGAGAAGCTCTTAGTTATGATTTTACATTTGCGGTCAAGGAGACAAAGGAGAATTTCTACTTAGGTATTTATTCTGAAAATTTTTCAGATAAATAAATACCTAAATATAAGAAATCTGTAAAATACATAATATTTTGTTGTTTAATAAATAGATTTTTTAATAATTAGCTTACTTTCACTAAAATGTATCTTTTTTCACTTATATCATTCTACAGACCTAGAATATTATAGTATTTAATAAAGTTATGTTTTTATGCATAATACATTATTTGTAAATAATAAATATGTTAATTACATAGTCTAACGTATGTTAATGTTAGTCAATTATAAATTAATAATTAAAATTAAAATTCCTTATAACTTTCAAAAAACTTCATTCAAGCAGACGTAATGACTAAGTAAATTTTAGTATGTTTGTTCCACCCCGTAACTGTGTAAACCAATATTTTTTCTTCACTTCTTGACAATTGCATTTGAGAGATGACTTAATTTATATTCTGTATTCTGTAAATTTGGTTACGGTTGTGGTGAACTTGTGTTATTTATTTTTTGTTATTATAGTGCAATAATTAAAAATTGTTAAGCTAGTTTATTAGTCTATATCATTATATATTACTTTTCATTATTATAATTTATAATAAATAAATTAATCACTAAATTTCTAAGCACCATTCACAATTTCTTAAAGTAAATCTTAGTAAAATTGTCTTTGAAGAGTTTTAAAATGTAGCAAAAACAATGAAAGTATATATTTAAAGATATTAATAAAAATAACTAAGTAACTGAAACTTAATAACTAAGTACTGAAACATACAGCGCCATAATATCTCGACCTCCGTCCGTTATGCTCGTAGCAGGTTGAAAAACAATATATCTAAAACAACTGATGCATTATTCTCCAACCTGTTTCGAACCTCCATCGACAATCGACCGATGCAGCAGCGTTACTTTCCCACTCCGATTATCTCGACCGCCACCTGTTATGCTCGTAACAGGTTAAAAAACAACGTATCTAAAATGATTGCTTATTTTCTATACGTTATTCTCCAACCCGTTGCGAGCCTCCATCGAAAATCGACCGATGCAGCAGCGTTCCTTTCCCACTCCTGTTATCTCGACCGCCAGGCGTTATGCCCGCAACTGTTTCAAAAAAGCTGCTTCTTTTATATCCTATTATTTTTAAGCTGTTGCAAGCCCAACACGACCATCAACGGCATCGACCGATGCAGCTACGTTCGCCGTAGCGCATTCCCCACTCCGTTGTCCGTTGTATCTCGCCGCCTGTATCGATAGTTGTTTTTTGGAATTGCTTCGAGCAGCATAGAATTTCGTGGCGGAGCAGTGCGCCGACTTCGTTTCACGAGCGGTCGATCTCTACGTGTCGTTATTTCATATCTGTAATTTTTTAGAAGTAGTAACGGTTGCGTTATGTTATTTCTAAATAATTGTTATAAAATAACAGATAGTTAAATAACAACCCATCACTAGTCTCTTACCGTTTTTCAAAACGAAAGTTATTTCAACGTTGAATTTTTCTTTATTTCGGCCCTATAAAGTAATAATTACACTATATTTTCATCTCATATTATAGTTTGTCTAAAAGCCACACTTGATTGAGGATAGAAAAATGTCCAACATTTTACCGAAAAACACTTTTCTTAACAAAATAACAAAGAAAATTGAGACCAGATGGAAGTTTGACATATCATATATCCCTTCTCTCTTCTATGTAATGAGAGAGACAAATACATTCTAGATCTAGTCTAGAAATTTAAAAATTTGCAATGTTGCCATATCTTGTATTTTTTCGGGTGATTAGGGATTTTAAATAAGTTACCTATGGAGATCCGACAATAGGTTATTTATACCTATATCCACAAAGTTGCACGAAAGAGTTTTGATTGCATTGGTTTCAACTTCTTTGCGGCGGGGGTTAATCTTTTTTTGATATAACAAAATATATATAAATATGATAATATAGTATAACAAAATAAATACGATAATGTTATAATATAACAAAAAAAGATTAACCCCCTCTGCATAGAAGTTGAAACCAATGCAATTAAAACTCTTTCGTGTAACTTCGAGGTTATAAATAGTCAAATCTCGTTGATAAAATAGCAGTTATGGGAAGGAGCCGTTCCACTGACGACCGCCTTTCGTAATCCCAGAGGGAGCGAAAAAAACGCGCTAAATTTAGGTTTAGCATTGGCAATGATGCTTTAAATGTCAGAAACACATAACCCAACATTTTCAGATTGTTTACAAATTTATATTAGCAAATTTTCCTCTATTATGCATAGAATTGGTTTAAAAATAACAGAAAATAGCAAAAGGCCCATTGTTTATTGAATACTTAACAAAATATGTGCTAGAATACCTCAAAAATATGAGAACTTAAGAAAAATTCGATGTTGAAATAATTTTTCGTTTTTCTGAAAAACGGTAAGAGACCGCTAGAAAAATGTTCAGATTCGTAATCTACAACCTCAAAATAGGGTGTATACCAATTTTGGTGAAAATCGGACGACTTCCAATTTTCCTAATAATTACCCTTTCTTTTCATACTTTCTTGACATTTTTGAACTTCAGCTAGTTATGATATACGTGAATTGTGCTCTTCTCAGTGTATTTTATCCTATTTCTTGTTTATTTTATAATTGTTCTTTATGCAAAGTATATAAATCTGGAATGACATTGTGTCAGGGACTTGAATTACAGGAAAACGAAAATCAGACGATATTAAGGGACGAGTATTGAGTAGGGAAAACAGAGCCCTACGATTTTTTTTCCATTAGGAGTTTAGGAAGAACCGCTGATAATTATTAGTAGTGGGAACTATCGAATGAATACTATCGAAACATTCGATAGTTGCAATTCATTCGAATAATTCGATAGCTAGTAAAAAAACATTCGTTGAAAACTATTCGAATAAAAATTATCGAATAGATGCGTCATCTGCCTTGAAATATTGTATTCTAGGAATTCGGCAGCAAAAACCATTCATTTATAAAATTCATTCATTTATGAAATTCATTTATTCGTCAGGATCGATTATAATAAAATATTAACTGGATTTTAGTTGTCGCCCGGCGACGTAGGTTTCTTTCCGAGAAACCCGACAGCGGTCGGTGGCAATGCTATGAAAGAAGCCGGCATCTTTGATTTTTTACGGAGTCATATAAAGATAAGGACACATTATTTTTTTTTATTGAGGTGCTAGTATTTACACAGAAAATACATTATGAAGGGCGCTGTTGCCATATATTGGTATTAGTTGATATCAGCAAAGAATATTATTGTTTGGCTTTAGTTAGTTAGGGATAGTATGTCTATATATTTTGCATTTTTTTATTAATATTCTGTTGTTACACTGCAATAATACTTGTTATTTTGGATGTAGGAAAATGATTTTTAATGTTTTTAAGCAAAGACTGGTTTAATAAAAATAATAGTAATAATTTGTTAACAGTAATAATTTGTTATACCTATTAACAACAAAATTTAAAATAATTTAATATAAACGTTTTTTTTACGTAGTAGCAAAATATAAAAAACAAATTAGATGTCAAAATTATTTATATTAGATCCTATTTAAAAATAATATAGTCTTTAATTTTTTTGGCAACGTTGGTTTATTAAATAATAATAATTACAGAACTAATTTGTTATATTAACAACAAACTTTAAAATCATGAAATATAAACATTTATTAATTTTCTAAGCATGCAGTGTAATGGAAGGAAAATATAAATAAAAAATTAGAAATCAAAAATATTTATATTAGGTACTTTATATTACTATTTAAAAATAATATAATATTACTATTTATTTTTACTGGCATTTACTTTAAAAAATAAATGAAATATTTCTTCGCAAAAAACTACATGTAAGAGAATTAGCATAAACAAAATACAAACATCGTTAACTTTTTTTTAAATTGGCACGTGTAAAACTTTCTATTTAATTTTCACACTCCATAGTTTGAGTTCGATACCCCCCCCCCATTTACTTAACCACATTACTTAAACATGATTATTAAGTTCAACTAATTCATATTATTAAAACATCTAAAATACAAATATGTATTTTTAAAATTAATTCTAAGTTCATCTCATCTCTCTTAAAAATTGCTACTTCTCAAAATTTCCCATTAAAAAATAGACCATATATACCATATAAAATAAAATAAATGAAAGATCGGGCTACGGAAAATCACACAAATTTTCGGAAAAATTTTGACACCTGCACACGCACACAATCGTCAATTTAAAAAAAAATATTTTAGTATTTTAAATATTTTAATAAACGCAAAAATAGCACAGTATTTATAAGGTGAAGTTATAAAAATTTGGAAGAACTAATAATGCACTGACGTACACAAAAATCAAACGAATACTAAATTTCATTTATCAAAAGCATTCGATAGTCGTGGCTCAACGATAACCATTTAGTTGCACGGCCAGGTTGTCACATATGCTTTAGTATACAAATGAATGAATGATTTTATTCGAATAAAACCATTCGATAGTTGAAATCATTCATTCAGTAACCATTCGATAGTCTAATTCATTCGATAGTTCCCATCGCTAATAATTATTGGTGTTAAAGTCGTTATTTTTTTCGAATTATTATAATTTTTTTTCAACTGCTTTTAGCGATTCGAATTAAATTTTGAGAGTAAAAGTTTCTCTAAGTGTAACATATTTTAATGCTAAAAAAGTGTCAACAGATTTACCAGGGACATGCATATGGGTTATCACTGGAATATTTTTCTAAAAAAATCCTGTGCCCCACTGACTTTTTCTCGTATTAACACAGTTATGTAGGTACATTTAATGCCGATTAAAAGTTCTCTTTTAATATGTTGTCGATTTCAGTGTCCTTGATGAGAAAAACACAATTTTATTAATTTACCTTAATCCAATGACAAAAAGAATACAAGGACATGTAACGACCAGATACAGGCAGTAGAATTTGTGATGTTAGATAGACGCCATTTTTTTGGATGTAACGAATAACTCATCAGCTGGTGATCAGCTACAATTTTAGCAATTTTTAATAGTTTGTGTAGTGAACTTTGTATAAACTTTATTACAATGGTGATTAGTTGTTCAGCTTTCAAGTGTAAAAGCCGCAGCGATAAAAAAAGAGCCAGAAGTTACGTTTTATAGGTAAATAAAATGGTGCTCTAAAAAGCATATTCTACATTAATTTTTGATTTGGGCTCCCCTAAAATAAATTCTTGTATCCGCCCCTAGTGTCGGGTGCTGTATTCTTTAGTCATTGCCTTCATCCAAGACTAATAACAATCTTTAAAAAAAAATTGAGTGGCCAAAATGATAGATTAGCACTCGTTGATTCGTCACTTTGAATAAGAAGAGTAAGGAAGGAGCATATCAAAAATCTTAGATCCACCGCGATGGGACTCAAATATGGCCGACTTAAATTTCGGTTTATCAGTGCCGTTCTAATTTTATTTAAAAAATGTAAAACTATGATGTAGGATAGACGTGGGGTAGACTCAATAATTTGTTTTTTTATTTTACGTTGTGAATAAATGTTGGTAGTTATTAAAATTGTTATAAAAACATATTATTATAATAAAAATAGATAAGTTTTAATAATTATTTATTAACACAAACATCCGATACGCTACTGAAGCAGGTAAATCAAATTGACGTATCTAAATTCTTGGACATCTAATCTTTGACAAGTAGTAAATAAAAGCAAAAATGCAAGAATAAATATATAATTAGTTAATTTAAGAGAACTTCATAAATGATCGGTTTACTACATGTATGTATATTATATAGTCACTTACTAGCGAAAAGTTGTTTCATTATTTCACTCGATTTTTGCCGAGATCTATCGCACGCTACACAACCAACTAACACACAATAGATCTATAAGGTCGCGGTGATTAACTCCCCTTCTAAACATTCTACACAACCAACTATTTTAGAGTCTTTTTCGATAAATCGCGATAGTGTCACTGTTAATTTAACTTCCACAATTTCCATCTAGATTTACTACTTTATACAACTATCAGTAGTAGAATAAATAATAAATAACATAAAATAAGCTCCGTAAAGACTGACAAATCCACAAAATTTCAAATCAAATTCAAATGTGTCAAATGAATCGTCAAACAGAACTGTCAAGGATTCCCACCCTCGAGTCCTTTTTCTGCCCACCATGCATGAATACATTGATAGCATTATGATGCTCCTTCGTTGTCTTCTTATTCAAAGATTCGTCATAAAAAATAACTTTTGTATAGTAAGTTTTACCCTCAATTAATAAAATTTTAGATTTTTAGAAAATTAAATTTAAAATTTCCTACAATTATATCGTAAGCTGCTACTACATTTGTATGACGAATGATGAATAAATACGGATAACAAAAAAAATAACAACTCGAAAAACTTTTTTGCGAGGCCCTCCAGAGACGCAAGGTCGTCACTTTATCGATTTTTAACATATTTATTTTAGCCAACTTTTTTATAGCAGAAGGTATGACTGTACTGAATCTCGCGATAACCCACGAATGCCCATTGGTCGAGGAAATCATCCGTAGAGGCGCCAACGTCAACTACCCCGTCCACCCCGATTTGAACACCTTCTCCCTATGCCTTCGAGTACCCAACCTGAACAAGTTCAGAGTGATCTGGAAGGACTTCAAATACCAGAAAATGACGATGAGCCTCATCAGGTTCATTGTAGAAATACTAGACGACGCTTACGTTTACGATTATATACAAATAATCTTCGAAAGTGGTAATATCGATCCTCTATTTGAAGATTTCGAATTGTTGCCGTATTTGGAATTTGTAAAGTCCCAACCCAATCCTATGGTATATTTTGAAATGACATTAGATATTATTTATTTGTATTTGTGTTACGGTCATATCCTGTTGAATTCGGAAGTGAGTTGTGTATATGATCTTTATGGTCATCGTACTGACGTGATGAGGATTTGCCTCCATATGGATATTAGATACATGTATGATGTGGATACGACTAAAACTCTAGCTCGAGTTTTATATGACACCGATTTGAAAATATCACAGTTTAAAAAATATTTCATCCCTTTAGTATTAGAATATGATGTGGATAGCGCCAAAAGGTTTGAGCCGTATTTTAGAATAAACAGGGATTGGATTAAATATCCCTATCGCTTAGATCCAGAGAAGCAATTTTTGTGTGGTGTTCCGTCGTTATTGGAACTTTCCAGAAACAAAACTAGAGACTATATAATTAAGAAATTCAGATTTTATAGCTCGCATACGACTATATACGGATGTAAATTATATTTTTTGTATTTGAATTGTTTGAATATACCGAAAATTTGTAAAGATATCTTGTCATTTCAGCAGCCCGTTTATTGCTCTTAAGTGTGTACAAGATTTCTCAAAAATACCAAAGAAACTCGAATGCGAACCTTGTTCTGTTTTGACTTTAACAAACTTATGTGATGTATTTTTTATTCAAGATTATCAGTGTTAAAATTTTATATAAATTTATATTTTTAATAAATAAAATTAAACAAAAGACAATTTGTTTTTGTTATAGATTATAATTAAACAAAGTATGATCTATACACTGACTTCTTTTGTTAGATTTCAATACTAAAATACTAAAACTAAATTTACCTATAGTAAGTTGTTCGATCTTATTACATTTTATTCTTTCAATAACAGCTAAACGATTGCTTAAATTTCTGCTGATTGTGCCATTTTCAGGTATTTCAAAAGAATCGTCTAATCGATGCGAAGTCTTCTTATTTCTGTTTTCGAATTTCTCAATCTCAATTTTGGAAATATTTCTGCGCGTTTTCATCAGTGCAACTTTCATCGTTACAAAGTCTGTTTTCATTTCCACTTGCTCATCTAAAAATTAAACTACAGTTATCAACAAAATTAAGGAGATCGCGAGGGCACTGGATAGAGGTGGGCAAATATTGAACGAGTCGTTCATTTGAACGAGTATTAAAAATGAATTGTGTGATTCGATTCACTGCTTAGAATACGGTTCGTTCAATTGAATCGTAGCCAGCACGGATCCATAAGAGTCGTGAGAATTAGAGGTGGGAATTCTAGTTCCTTGGGAGGAACTAGTTCCTTAGTTTTAGTTCCTCCAGAGGAATAGTTCCTTGAACTAGGTCTTTAGTTCACAATAGTTCCCGACTAACATTGACATACCCGTTGCTTGCTAATGGGTTTCGTTGTCAGTCAGAACTATTCACAGTATGATCTGTATAATTTTTATAATGTACGAAATATAACGAGACGTGTAATTGTGTATGTTAAAAACATATAGGTAAGTTTTAACTAGAAACTAGTCTTGTATTTAGTTGTGATTTAGTTCCTGTTGTGGTTCCTACGGCTGGAACGCCCCACTCCCGCCTAGCCTCGGGCTACGCGCGCTGGCCGATCCGGCGCCGTCGCATATTGTATATCGGTCACGGAATAGGTCCTGAGGAACTAGTTCTTTGAGAATCCAGGAACTAGTTCTTGTCATTCCGGGGTCGAAGTAGTTCATTGAAACTAGTTCGTTCACGAACTACACAGCTCTAGTAAGAATTGATTCATTGCTTGCAATACAATTCGATAATATTGCTTATGTGATGTATTTTTTATTCAAGATTATCAGTGTTAAAATTTTGTATAAATTTATATTTTTAATAAATAAAATTAAACAAAAGACAATTTGTTTTTGTTATAGATTATAATTAAACAAAGTATGATCTATACACTGACTTCTTTTGTTAGATTTCAATACCGGCGATACTAAAATACTAAAACTAAATTTACCTAAAGTAAATTTTTCGATCTTCTTAAATTTTATTCTTTCATTAACAGCTAAACGATTGCTTAAATTTCTGCCATTTTCAGGTATTTCAAAAAAATCGTCTAATCGATGCGAAGTCTTCTTATTTCTGTTTTCGAATTTTTCAATCTCAATTTTGGAAATATTTCTGCGCGTTTTCATCAGTGCAACTTTCATCGTTACAAAGTCTGTTTTCATTTCCACTTGCTCATCTAAAAATTAAACTACAGTTATCAACAAAATTAAGGAGATCGCGAGGGTACAGGATAGAGGTGGGCAAATATTGAACGAGTCGTTCATTTGAACGAGTATTAAAAATGAATCGTGTGATTCGATTCACTGCTTAGAATACGGTTCGTTCAATTGAATCGTAGCCAGCACGGATCCATAAGAGTCGTGAGAATTAGAGGTGGGAATTCTAGTTCCTTGGGAGGAACTAGTTCCTTAGTTTTAGTTCCTCCAGAGGAATAGTTCCTTGAACTAGGTCTTTAGTTCACAATAGTTCCCGACTAACATTGACATACCCGTTGCTTGCTAATGGGTTTCGTTGTCAGTCAGAATTATTCACAGTATGATCTGTATAATTTTTATAATGTACGAAATATAACGAGACGTGTAATTGTGTATGTTAAAAACATATAGGTAAGTTTTAACTAGAAACTAGTCTTTTATTTAGTTGTGATTTAGTTCCTGTTGTGGTTCCTACGGCTGGAACGTCCCACTCCCGCCTAGCCTCGGGCTACGCGCGCTGGCCGATCCGGCGCCGTCCCATATTGTATATCGGTCACGGAATAGGTCCGGAGGAACTAGTTCTTTGAGAATCCAGGAACTAGTTCTTGTCATTCCGGGGTCGAAGTAGTTCATTGAAACTAGTTCGTTCACGAACTACACACCTCTAGTAAGAATTGATTCATTGCTTGCAATACAATTCGATAATATTGCTTGAAATACGGATCTATAAGATTTGAACGATGAGCCATAAACAAGAATCGTGAGAATTGAATAGGATCACAATGCGATCGTTCGTTTCTACGGTGCGGCGGTGATATAGCCATAGAGTCAGGAACTAATATTTAGACTTGAACAAAAGCCCTAAACAAACAGCATGGGTATAAAATGCAAACGATAAGTATTTAATTTTTACGTTAATATTTTTGTTAAAATAATATTACCGATTATAAACCATTAAATTACGGACTAAAAGACGAAATCGTGTTTTTATGCAACAAATAAATGTTGTTGGCCTCTGCTCAATATGATTAAAAAACGGCGCCAGCGATGGTTATAAAATGAAAATCGCTGTCAGGGTGCATCCACACTTTCCTAAAAACAGCGTATCGGCGTAACGGCGTTACGACCTTGAATATATTTCCAGTAATTCTATTGGCTGAAAAATTCATCTATCAAAAATTTTATCTGTCAAAAATTTCAGCCAATAGAATTACTGGAAATCGATTCAAGGTCGTTACGCCGATACGCCGTTTTCAGGATAGTGTAGATGCACCCTCAATAGATTTCCAGTAATTCTATTGGTTGAAAAATTTATCTGTCAAATTCATCTCCCAAAAATTTCAGCCAATAGAATTACTGGAAATCTATTAAAGGTCGTTACGCCGTTATGCCGATACGCCGCGCCGTTTCTAGGATAGTGTGGATTGTGGATGCACCCTCATTTCATATGTAAAATTATATGGACAGTGTCATCGATATTCATTTCCAAGCCAACTGGATGCCATTTTTTTTGGATAATGCGGTATTATTTTTAACTCTATGGGTATTATATACTATTTATTATAAAACTATTAAATCGGAATTAAAATATGGCTCTAAAAATATTAAATTGGTATTAAGAAGTCTTTAATAAATAGTATATGAATTGGATTGATAATTTAATATTAGTTGTAAAATAATCAGTCCAATTACTCTAGTGTCGTAAAGTGTTGAAAAACGAATGAAAGAACTGTATGTTTCTTTTTCTGGTACCTTAAGTAATTGTCCAGCCAAATTATCGCCGGTAGTGCCAGTTACGATTCTTGTTTTTATGATACATAAATTGTGCATCTGGTTCGTTCAAATGACCGAATGGTAGGAGTCGATTCAATATGAGAAATCGAATCGTGTGATTCGATTCACTAAAAAGAATCATAATGCCCATCACTAGTGCAGGGTGGGAACGATAGCGTCACATCCATTATCTCATTTGTTTCGAGGTTTACAAAAAATGACATACTTGATAAAAGTTGAAGAGTTTTGTAATATATATATCAGAAAAAATGATAATATACAGGGTGCGCCATTTATTTGCCAAAATTTGAGATTTTTAATTTTAAGTAATTGGAATTCATAAATATATTTTGCACATCCTGTAGCATCTAACTAAAATATCTTTACTTTACATATATCTTTTTCTTCATCTCTATAAAACTCTCCTGCCAAATTTTAGTAGTCTAACTTCATAAACAGTGGCATCAAATCCCAACCGATTACTTGATATGCAAGCTGGAACATTATGGTGTTAGGGGACGTATCTTGGCATTGATAAACTCATTTTTGCGAGACCGTACTTTCCAGGTGCGTGTGGGATCAGCACTTTCAGACGAATACTTGGTTCACAGCGGTGTGCCACAAGGCTCAGTATTGGGCCCGCTACTATTTATTATTTATTTGAGTGACTTATACCCTACCCTTAAAACCAACTATACATCCTTCGCCGACGATACAAATGAGTACTGCAACCCCCTAACAGAAAAAAATTTGCTCCAAGAAGACTTAACAACCATTAAATCGTGGACGAATATCTGGAAAATGCCACTGAACAACTCAAAATGCACCATTCTCCACATTGGCCCTAATAACCCACATCAACGATACTATCTGGAGCAGACAGAAGTCTAAGTGGGCAACATCAAAAAGACCTGGGCATTGAAATTACGGAAAATCTGAAGTGGGAATACCATATAAATCGCATAGTTAAACAAGCCAATACAATGATCTGCTTAATAAAAGCAGCATTTGCAAACAAATCAGGCGAGATGATACTCAAATTGTATAAGTCATACATTAGACCAAAGATTGAATATGCACAATGCATATGGAACCCCTATTATGCCAAGGACATTGAAATGCTTGAGTGTGTTCAGCGGAGGGTCACTAAGATTCCTTTGGAAATGAGAAATTTGTCATACGAGGATCGACTGCAAAGGCTTGGTCTAACAACTCTTCGTGAACGGAGAATTCGTGGCGATCTCATCGAAACATTCAAGATTACAAGTGGCTACTATGTATGCGTCATGAACATCTTCCATATCAGTGAAACGCACAACCTTAGGGGACATAACAATAAATTGGATAAAGAACGCTGTAATAAGCTCTTAAGGTGGAACTTTATTACAAATAGAGTAGTGTACAGCTGGAACAGGCTCCAGTATGATACAGTGAATGCTACAAGTGTAAATACATTTAAGAATAGACTTGATGTGGAAATGAAGAGCTGGAACAACCTTTTTATTCACTACATGTGATCGTAAACTGTGATGTTAATTTTGATTTGTGATTTGTTTTTTAATTGAATGTACGCAGTGCAATACTTAGTTATTTATTTTTACAACTGTGTTAGATAAATGTGATTATGTGATTCAATAGTCTCATCGGGTTTTACCCGACTACTGTTGATTTTTGTAATAATAATAATCACTGATAATTATTTTTTACAACACGGAAATCTAATATTTGTTTAAACAAATTAATTAACTTTCCTATAACTTTTATATTGTCAAGATGTATTACTGGTTGCATAACTGCATACTGCTAAAAAATCGCAATGTGCCTTGAGGAACCTGGCGCATTCGCCAGAAAGTAAAGAAAATTATAGAATTCTTTAGAAAAATCTAGAAACAACGGCCAGGGGGTATATAAGGCCCGCGCTTTGACAGTTGGACAAGTTTAAAGTTTGAAGTCTAAAGTCTGAAGATAGTCTGAAGTCTGAAGTTTGAAAATACCGCGAAATACCGTTCAAGTAATAGTAGTTGCATAAGTTGTGTTGTAAATAGTATAAGTTGTGTGTACAGAGTGAAACAAATAAATTCGTTAAGTATTTTATCGTGAGTTTAAATAGTGGACCCACGGAATCCGTAACAATTGGTGTCGGAAGTGCGATTCAAGAGGATTTTAAGAAGAAATTAAGTGGATTGGAAGATTTTTAGACCGAATCAGAGTATTTTTATGGTTGGTACAAGGGAGCAATCGAAGAAAATGGAAGAAGTAAGCAAATTATTGGGCGATTTTATGGAGAACATGAGAAAAGAGAAAGCAGAAGAACAAGAAAGACTCCGTAAAGAACGAGAAGAAGAGCGAGCCCGATTAGAAAGAGAAAAGGAAGAGGAAAGACTACGACGTCAACAAGAACAGGACCGGCTTGACAAAATTTTTGAAGATTTGAAAATTCAACGACAACAAGAAAAACAAGAAGAACAAGAAAGACTACGTAAAGATAAGGAAGAGGAAAAATTACAACGACAACAAGAAAAACAAGAAGAACTGGACCGGCTTGAGAAAATTTTAGGCAATTTAGAAATCCGTCAGAAGAATGAATGGAGGGAAATTTTAGAAGATATAGAGACGCACCGCCAGAAAGAAAGACAAGAAGATCAAAACCGTCTTAAGAAGAACTTTGAAGAACTAGAAAGAAGGCAAGAAATCCACCTTCAAGAAGCCGTAGAAGATCTGGAGGAACGCCTTCAGCAGAAAATGGAAAAATTAGAGATGGACCTACACAAGACCAAGGTACAAGTAAGGACACCTGGCGTTCCTGGAACTGCGAACCTTAAGGCCCCGACCTACGATGGACAAACGACCTGGACGATGTACCACCGCCAGTTTGAAGCAGCAGCCGCTGCCAATGGATGGACCGACCAGGAGAAAGCAGCGGCAATTGTCATCGCGCTGCGTGGCCCTGCTCTGGAACTGCTGCAAACTATTCCTGCAGCCCAACAGCAGGAATACCAAACTTTGGTAGCTGCACTGGACAGAAGATATGGCGACCAACATCGACGTCAACTTTACCAGGCCCAGATCAAGACACGCCTGCAGAGGTCCGGAGAGAGTCTGCAGGAATTCGAAGCAGACTTACGTCGGCTGGTACACCTGGCATATCCAGAAGCACCGGAAGGATTTAGGGAGGAACTCGCTGCTCAGTGCTTTATCAGCGGACTGAGGGACAACGAATTGCAGAGGGCGCTGCAAATATCCCGATTTTCTACCAGCAGCGAAGCACTGGTCAGGGCGCTGGAAATCGAAGCTGCTTTTAGCACCATCCCTAGACCGAAGATAAGATCGGTAACGGTCGAGGAACAGCCCGGAAGTTCTCACATACGTTTGGAGGAGATGTTTAGTAAACTATGTGAGCTACTAGTGAACAAGAGTAGCAACAACACCCAGACAGAGAACCATAGAAGATCGCAGGACATAAGATGCTATAGATGTGGCAGGAATGGCCACATCAAACGGGATTGCCGCGTTCAAATGCGATCCCGTTCACCAGGTAAAGTGGAGAAAATCGCTGGGTGCTGTGTTGGACTGGTACAAAGTGGCGACAAGAAACAAGATAGGTACATAGTAGGAAAATCATTGGTGAACACCGACAAGAATATACCGATCAGAGTTGCGAATATTTTCCCGAATTGTGTCAAGATTCAAAAAGGTGACAAGATAGCCATCTGCGAACCTGTAAGAAGTGTCACCCGATGTGATGAAGTGTCGTCAGCTGTTACACAAAAGGCATCCCAAGAAACACTAAAACATCTAGAACAGCCATGGGATCACCTAACACCTGAGGAGAAACAGAAGACCAAGCAGTTCCTGCTAAAGCATGGCAGTATTTTTGAGAAGAACAACAGTGGAAGAACGGATTTTGTGGAGCACCGGATTAATACTGGTCATGCTCAGCCGATTCGACAACGTCCTAGAAGGGTGCCCCTTTCCAAACAACAAGAAATGGAGACAATGGTAGATAAGATGCTAGAAGATGGAGTTATCGAAGAATCATCGAGTCCATGGTCATCTCCTGTTGTTTTGGTGACGAAGAAAGATGGTAGTACACGATTCTGCGTGGACTATCGGAAGCTCAATGACGTCACTAAGAAGGACAGCTACCCACTGCCACGTATAGACGACACGTTAACCACACTGGCAGGTTCGTGCTGGTTCTCCACTCTCGACTTAAAGAGTGGATACTGGCAAGTTGGTCTGGACGAGGAAGACAAAGAAAAGACGGCTTTTTCTACAGGAAACGGACTATACCAATTCAAGGTCATGCCGTTTGGATTATGCAATGCTCCAGCCACTTTCGAACGTCTCATGGAGGTGGTGTTAAGAGGATTAACTTGGAAAACGTGCTTGGTTTACCTCGACGATGTATTGGTTATGGGAAGAACTTTTGAGGAGCATTTGCGAAATTTAGAAGAAGTCTTCGGACGCATACGGAATGCTCACCTGTACTTGAACCCGAAGAAGTGTAGCTTATTCCAGCGACAAGTGGAATTCTTGGGTCATGTAGTCTCGGCAGACGGAATTTACACCGACCAGAAGAAAATCGCTGCGATCAAGGATTGGCCTAAACCTCGCGACAAACATGAACTTAGAAGTTTTCTGGGTTTATGCACCTATTACAGAAGATTTGTCAAGGGATTTGCCAATATAGCTGCACCCTTACATAGACTTACAGGTGATGAAGTCGGCTACGAATGGAACACCGATTGTGATGTAGCCTTTGGAAGACTTAAGGCGGCTTTATGTTCAAGTCCTATTCTAGCCTACCCGCAACAACAAGGGAGGTATATCCTGGATACCGACGCCAGCAATATCGGCATAGGTGCAGTGCTATCACAAGTGCAAGATGGCGAAGAACGAGTGATAGAATATTACAGTCGAGTTCTATCCAAACCAGAAAGGAATTACTGCGTTACCCGGAAGGAGCTGCTAGCAATTGTGAAGGCAGTTGATCATTTTCATAAATATCTGTACGGCCAAGAATTTTTAATTAGGACAGATCATGCGGCTCTCAAGTGGCTTATGGAGATGAAACAACCTGAAGGTCAAATAGCACGATGGCTCGAGAAGCTCCAACAGTATCACTTTACCATCCAACATCGTGCTGGAAAAATGCATGGTAACGCAGACGGTTTATCCAGAAGACCCTGTCAAACCGATTGTAAGCACTGCTGTAAAACGGAACAACGTGAAGGCACTGTCATGATAAGGAGTTTTAAACTTGGAACCGATGAACAGTGGACGACGACACAATTGAGGAAAGATCAAATGGAAGATCCAGACATCGGAGCAATACTACGGCTCAAGGAAGGTAACGGCGAGAGACCACCGTGGCAGGATATTGCGGACAGAGGGCTCGTTTTCAAAGCTCTCTGGGCTCAGTGGAATTCACTGGTTATTGAGAATGGATTGTTAAAGCGCACATGGGAAAGTGCGGATGGCAGCACAGTAACAACTCAGTTACTGGTACCAAGGAAGAAAGTTACCCAGGTATTGGAAGAAATTCACGGTGGTAAAACTGGAGCCCATCTTGGGGTAAACAAGACCTTGAGCAAGCTGAGAGATCGCTTTTACTGGGTGGATTATTGCGAAGATGTCAAGAAATGGTGTCGACAATGTAAAATTTGTGCAGCCAGCCAAGGACCAAGCACTCGATCTAGGGGAAAAATGAAACAATATAACGTTGGACTGCCATTCGAAAGAATCGCTGTTGACATTGCAGGCCCATTCCCTGAAACGCACAAGGGCAACAAGTACGTTTTAGTGGCGATGGATTATTTCAGTAAATGGCCAGAAGTTTTTGCCATTCCAAACCAAGAAGCATCGACTGTAGCTGAAGTATTAGTCAATAATGTCTTCAGTAGATTTGGAATTCCTTTAGAGCTTCACACTGACCAAGGAAGGAACTTCGAGTCAAGACTGTTCCAGAAGATGTGTGATCTGCTTGGTATTCACAAGACTAGGACAACAGCTTTACATCCGCAGTCTGATGGGATGGTCGAGAGATTCAATAAGACCATTGAAGAACATCTCTCGAAAATGGTGGATGAACATCAAAGAGATTGGGATCAGCATATACCACTATTCCTAATGGCATATAGAAGTGCAGTTCACAACACCACCGGACTTTCACCATCGAAGATTTTATTTGGTCGAGAATTACGGTTGCCTTGTGACTTGGTGTTCGGATCACCAGACGACAGCACCACGAACGTAGAGGACTACGCGGATGAACTGAAGGAAAGGTTATTGGGAATTCATAAGGCCGTGAGAAGTAAGATTACGCTAGCCAGTGACCGGATGAAAGCTCGTTACGACCTCAGAGCTAATTCTACGGGATTTCAACAGGACGATATGGTATGGTTATATAACCCACAGCGCAAGAAAGGGAGGTCCCCAAAGTTAACTCCAGCATGGGAAGGTCCTTATACAGTCATCAAGAGGATAAATGATGTTGTGTACCGGATTCAACGCAGCCCTAGAAGTAAGATGAAAGTAGTTCATCTGGATCGATTGAAGAGATACCAGACAGGAAACCTTGATCGGGACGATCAAATTTGAGAAGGGGCAATGTCAAGGTGTATTACTGGTTGCATAACTGCATACTGCTAAAAAAATCGCAATGTGCCTCGAGGAACCTGGCGCATTCGCCAGAAAGTAAAGAAAATTATAGAATTCTTTAGAAAATCTAGAAACAACCGCCAAGGGGTATATAAGGCCCGCGCTTTGACAGTTGGACAAGTTTAAAGTTTGAAGTTTGAAGTCTAAAGTCTGAAGATAGTCTGAAGTCTGAAGTTTGAAAATACCGCGAAATACCGTTCGAGTAATAGTAGTTGCATAAGTTGTGTTGTAAATAGTATAAGTTGTGTGTACAGAGTGAAACAAATAAATTCGTTAAGTATTTTATCGTGAGTTTAAATAGTGGACCCACGGAATCCGTAACAATATTTAACATTTCTTTGTAAACCTCGAAACAAATGAGATAATGGACTTTAGTCTATCGTTGACTCACCCTGTACAGGGTGTCCCAAAGTCATCATTGGAATCTCGGACACTAGAGAAGATATGTAGTCAGTTAAGCCGGCCCTGTACGATTCGTCCAATGTTGGAAACAACATTTGGCACAGCGCACAGTTTTCGGCAATGTTATACAATACACGTATAGATCATACCAAATAAACTTTTAGTTACATGATTAAGCTTGACTCGCACAGTATTACCCACTTTTACATATTATTTTCTTTTAATCAAAATATTTAAGTAACAAAGATAAATTATAAATATTTAGGCAGTTATTATTTACATCAACAAAACTCACCTAACGATCAGATTTTAAATGTTGAATATTATTATTATTTACTAGTTGTAACAAATTGTCCTTATTCTAACAGAAATATGATATACTAAGGGTCGGCATTTCTGGTCTTGGGTGCCGGGTTTCATATGTACAAAGAGTACGGTCAACACGCTTAGTAAAATAAGATGTACTGAATAAAGACAGAAGGCGAGTATTTTTCCAAGCGCATGGAATCTAGCGTCAGATTAAGTAGTTATGTAATAAATACTTCGTATTTTTGCTTACTCCAACTTATTCGATTGCCATAACGACTCACTCCTATACATGTAAACGCCGACCCAAAGGTTCGCTTGCCAGCGGGGTATAATAATAAATTGCTAAAGGGATATTTTTTATTTGACGTTTAGGTTAATGTAAAATTTACTAAATTATCTCTACGTCTAGAGGTCTAGGTCATTGTGGTCTAGGTAACTACCCCCATTACCCCTCCACTAAATCCGCGCTTGGTCATCAGTGGCATTCTGTTTTATTTAAATATTATTTTTTTATTTAAATATTATTTTATTTTTTTTTTACATTGGATCATTACGTAAACAAGTGTTATTAGTTATTGAAATTGTTAAAAATATAAATGCAATAACAATAACACAGGCCGACATGATTTTTGTAACACGAGTCAGTTGCAGAATTTCTTCATAAAAATATGCTTCTAATAACAGAAAAAATACTCCTGAAGCTCCTACACGTACCACTTTTCAGTTGCCTAATTACGCCTCTTTTTTGCAGGTAGTCAATTTTATAGATGTCAGGTATTAAGTCTAGGTAGATTCGTTTACATACAGGTAAATTTTATGATGGGATGATTGAAAGGGACGCATTTTGTGCACTATAATATATTGTGAAAAACATAAGAGAGTTCAGTTTTCAGTTGATTTTCGACGTGAGTTGTTCTATGCGTGTAGATAAATAGTACGAAAATGTCAAGTCAAACGCGCCGCAGTTGTAAAGTGTCTCCTGATCGATTTTGTTACATTTGTGGAGAATTTATGGTGCAATCACAAGCCAGACCATTTTCTGAAAATGTGAAGAAAGCCTACTTCAAGTATTTTGGAGTTTTGGTTGGAGATCAAGACAAGCAGTGGGCTCCTCATGTGTGCTGCGTTACTTGTAGCGTGTCGCTTGTGCAGTGGATGAAAGGGAAGAGGAAAAAATGCCATTTGCGGTTCCAATGGTATGGCGAGAACCAACTAACCATTTTGACGATTGCTATTTTTGCCTGACGAAAACTGAAGGTTTTTCCAAAAAACAAAAGCACAAGATCGAGTATCCCAATTTGCCGTCTGCCATACGACCTGTTCTTCATGGTGCAGATCTCCCAGTGCCGATCGCGCCCTTAGACTGGCAAGGTATTGTTTTGGAAGATAAGGAAGATATTGAATCAAACAGCTCTGGAGACCAGTGTACTGATCCTACCTTTACCCCAGAGGGCGGTTCCGACAAGCCACATTTGATTGTTCAAAGCGAGTTGAATGACTTAGTGCGTGACTTGGGGTTATCAAAGCAGCAGTCAGAACTTCTTGGATCCCGGCTTAAGGAATGGAATCTGTTAGCCAATGAAACAAAAATCACCACTTTTAGAAAAAGAAATGCTCCGTTCTCTGCATTCTACAGTATGGAGGATTCGTTGTGTGCATGTACTGATATCGATGGCTTAATGCAGGAACTTTCTATAGAACATTCTCCCTGTGAGTGGCGCTTATTCATAGATTCGTCGAAATATAGCCTAAAAGCTGTGTTATTGCATAACGGAAATTTAAAACCCTCTATACCAGTTGCCCATTCAGTGACAATGAAGGAAACTTATGAAAATATGCGCATGCTTTTAGATAGAATCAACTACAACAGGTATAAATGGCAGATATGTGGGGACTTGAAAGTTATAGGAATTTTAGTGGGACTTCAGGGAGGATTTACAAAATATTGCTGTTTTCTTTGTTTGTGGGACAGTCGTGCAGTAAATCATCATTATGTACAGAAAATTTGGCCAGAAAGAAGTGAATTTCAACCGGGTTCCCAAAATGTCAAGTATATCCCTCTTGTAGACCCCAAAGACGTCCTCCTGCCTCCTCTTCATATCAAACTTGGCCTCATGAAAAACTTCGTGAAAGCTATGAATAAAGAAGGTGATGGATTTAAATACCTAAGGCAAGTCTTTCCCCAGTTGAGTGATGCCAAATTGAAAGAGGGTATTTTTATTGGACCACAAATCAGGAAATTGTTGGACGACACAAATTTCACAGACACGCTTACCAGGCAGGAACTCAGAGCATGGACCTCATTTGTTAGTGTAGTGAGGGGATTTTTGGGAAACAATAAGGATGCGAACTACGAACAATTGGTTAATGAGCTTTTAGATGCTTATAAATCGCTTGGTGCCCGAATGTCTTTAAAAATTCACTTTCTCCATTCTCATTTGTCATTTTTCCCTGAAAATATGGGTGCTGTCAGTGATGAGCAAGGTGAGAGATTCCATCAAGACATAAGGACAATGGAAATTCGTTATCAAGGACGATGGGATCCAGCCATGATGGGTGATTACTGTTGGTTTTTGAAGAGAGAAGACGCGGTCCCTCATAAAAGGAAAAAGTAAAAGTTTTTGTTTATGTTTTGATCTCGTTTCGATTGTTTTTGTACTTTTTAGGTATAAGCACAGAATATCTAGCTACGCAACAGAAAAATACTCGAAATGAAAGAGCTAAAATTGCACAAATAGAATACTAGATGGCGCGACAATATCATAATCAGAATATAATTAGACATTTTGAACTTTCGGTTTTGGATCGACGGCTCGGCGACGGCCTTGTAGCTCGGCTAAATATGCACAGTTGCCAGATTCAAAAAGACATGAATTGACATCCCATTCTTTTTATTGTGTATAAAGCAGAATGTGTTTCTTTCTATTCTTCTTTTCTTGTCAGATACACATATATAAATTATTCCTTTGGCTATTAAAATAGTTTTAAGTATATTATTACAAAACATATACATTTTTAATATACACTACCTTATAATGTTAACTAAGAAAATACCTTTAATTACCTTTAAAATTAATAATATACAGGGCGATTGATAGTGATATTTATAATGCTGGAACGTTAGTAATGAAATATGGAAATAATTTATTAAAATGCAGTACAAAAAATGTTAACTGACTAAAAAATACTATAATAACAAATTTCTTCCGTTTGCCACGTTATTTATATATTATAGACCTAGGTAGATTTTAAAAAGTGACACAGGTACAATTAATAATATATTAGTTCGGCATAAAAGTTGCTGTCACGACATCGAACAATAAATTAAAATTCATAAAATAAATTAAAATTATTAATTAAACAAATCTTTATAAAGAAACGCAAGTATACCAAATTTGGGCCCAATCGAACTCCAGGAAATGATATCATAATAGTGTACTATATTATGGTACCACTCGATATACTTTAAGGTACCATAATATTGCAATGTCACCGAAGATCCGTAGTATACCAAATTTAAGAACAATCGAACGCCATGAAATGGTATCGTAATATGGTACTATATTAATGTACCACTTTATATACATCATAGTTCAATCATATTACAATGTAACCGAAGATACGTAGTATACCAAGTTTGAGCCCAATCGAACGCCAGGAAATGGTATCGTAATATGGTACTATATTAAGGTACCACTTTATATGCATCATAGTACCATCATATTACAATGTCACCGAAAATACGCAGTATCCCAAGTTTAAGCCCAATCGAACGCCATGTACGTAATGTAGTACTATATTATGGTACCAGTTGATATGCTTCATGGTACCATAATAATGCAATGTCATCAAAAATACGCAAGTATATATCAAATATGAGCTCAATCGAACGCTAGGAAATGGTATTAAAATATGGTACTATATTAAGGTACCACTTTATATGCATTATAGTACCATCATATTACAATGTAACCGAAGATACGTAGTATAACAAGTTTAATTCCAATCGAACGCCAGGAAATGGTATCGTAATATGGTACTATATTATGGTACCTCTTATTATGCTTCATGGTACCATAATATTACAATATCACCGAAGATACGTAGTATCCCAAATTCAAGCCCAATCGAACGCCATGTACATAATGTGGTACTATATTATGGTACCAGATGATATGCATCATAGTACCATCATATTACAATGTCACCGAAAATACGTAGTATACTAAGTTTAAGCCCTATTGCCGCCATGTACCTAATATTGCTATGTCATCAAATATGGTACTATAGAAGGTACCACTTTATATGCTTCATGGTACCATAATATTACAATGTCACTGAAGATATAGTATACCAAGTTTAAGCCCAATCGAACGCCATGTATCGTAATATAGTACTATATTATGGTATCACTTGATATGCTTCTGAAAAAAACGGCGTCCAGTTGGCTGGAAAAGGACGATCGATGACATTTCTCATATAAATTTACATATAAAATGACAGCGATATTCATTTCATAGCTATCGCTAACGCCGTTTTTTCCCGATTTTACGATATGAACTTGGTATGAACACAATCGAACGTCAGGAAGTGGTAGAACTATAATAATAGTAGAACAATACTTATTATATTGTCGCCGAATTACAATGAAAATTCAGGATTCAATTATACAATCAAACGTCAGGAAGTGATTGTAATTTAGCTCATAAGATTTAATTCCATCTAACATGGCAAACTGAAAAAAACAGCTCTGATCTATTTTAATATGTTTAAATGATGTAGCAAATTTGAAGGTAAGCTTTATCAGGAAGTATTACGATATGAATTACACAATGGCAACACTGCACAAAATTCTTTTAATTTTGTTTGTAGAAAACTGTTTTCTTTTAAATTTATTGCCCTCTATTATGTAGTAGCGAAACTACCACATCAAAATATCTGATTTGGAGACAGGCTTTAAAAGCCTGTCTCCTTTTGCTACCTACAATTTTGTACATGTAACGAGGCTTCTGTTGCGTAGCTAGATATTCTGTGGTATAAGTAATGTTTGAGGAGTGTAAACTATAAAATATAATCGGTATATAGGCTTAAGAAGTTCTTAAATCATGTTTTGAATAGCTATCTTAATATATTGAATATTGTAATATTGAATGATGTTTTATTAATGTAACAAAAAAACCTTACGTGTTACGACTTTTTTTTTGCCACTTTCGTGATTAGATAGGTTCATTCTACCACAATATCCTATTGAGCTTTGTGTTACATCGAAAAATTTTTTTTTTGTCGGCCTGTGATAATTAATTAATAAAATTACATATCCTAATTATTTTTACAACTAGTAAATAACTTTGAAAATGTAAGAATAAAAACATAAACAAATTTTATAACTAATTTCTATAAAAAACATATAAATAAAAAGTTACCTGGCATTATTTTATTTGGTATGAAAAAAGGGGTTAACTGTCTTCCATATATATTCCTAAATCCGTCATAAATAGATCCAGTGTTAAGATTTGCTTTGCATATTAAACCATATATACTCTAAAAAATTCCTAATTAATAAAACAAATGTTACCGTAATTATTACTATATACCAAAATCACTTCTGTCAATCTTTCGTCTTTTAAATCATCCACCAAAAGATAAGACATATTCGGCCGAAAAACTTCAGAGACTGCATCGATTCCAAGGAAGTATATTATAGCCAGCAGAATAAGGCGTTTGTCTGTATAAAATATTTTTTGTTTGATTTTGTTCAAAAGATATTTTTTTAGAGGTAGACGTAAACATAAGAGGGACAGAACATAACACATCGGACTCAAAACATTTTCTGGTACTTCTGATTTTAAAAGCCTCCCACATAAAATATTTGTAAGTAACTTTAGTTGTTTTGTACTAACTTGTAAACTTGGTAGAGGGCTATTTTCTAGAACTTCAAGTAATTGTAATATTTTTAAAGTCAATGACTCATATTTAATGTCTTTCAAGATAAAATATGAAAAATTATAGAACCAATTTGTGATAGGGCCTATGGAAGCATTTTCACTAATATCTTTTAAAGCCATTCTTCTTAGTTCTTCATTATTACTAACAAGAGATTTGCACATTACTTTAAAATAGTTGGTAAAAGTTTGGGTATAATCTGTTGATTCAGTATCATTAGCAGACAACCACACTTGACTTATTACAGTGTCTCCTTCTTGCATATATGTCATTTGTTCTTCTGCTATTTCTACCAAATTTACTTGTTGGTCCTTAAAATTAAAATTATAACAAAAGATTAACCAAAATCTTTAGTGTCTCAAGTGAGAAAAAAATCAATAAACATTATTTTATCTACTACTAAAATTTTAAAACTATAAATAATACAGTGTCTATGGAGAAAATTATTTTTAATAATAGCAAAAAACTCTTGTGTAAACTGTTCTCATAATTTTCTTACATCAAGAAAAAATAAGCTGTCGTCTGGCAATCTTAACCAATTTGGATTGGACGATGCACCATAAACTTTGTCAATATTAAGATTCGCAAATGTTTCTTCTATATCCCCCGAAGTTATAGTTTCCCTATGTTGCAATTTGGCTTTAATTAAGGCATTCTAAAAATTTAACTATAAAACTATGCGAGTCACAATAATTACACCTCATACATGGATTATGTAACGTAATTTATAATTAATATCTTCAGTTAAAATATTATACATTTCTTCAGTAAAATTTTCTTCTATGTTATTTTGTTCCGCATAAATTTTTATGGAGTCTGGACCTATTCCAGCATATCCTTGAAAATACTGAAATAATGAAAAACCTTAATACTAGTTACTGCTTTCCAAATAAACGTACCTTGGAAGGAAACTCCTGGTATTCTTCATTACTCGTATTATCTTGTTGACTTTGTACGGATTGTATTTTATTATTCCCCATTTTAGCCTGCTTCTTATGTCTAGATCCTCCTGACGAACTACTTGAAGAATTCATTGCAATAATTAAAGAATTAATAACTATAACAAAAACGAAACAATAATAACATTCAAATATTTTGAATGTTTTAATAATATCTGATAATATCAAATCAAAGAATAACATAAACTAGATTCAAATCAAGATGAACCACACTTTTACTTCTTTTATAACTGTCAATAAATAAAATTCTTCTTTTTTGAAGTTCGGTTTTATCAGCCATAGCTGGAAAGACTACATATATAAATTTTCCACTTCATATACTAAACTAGTTGTAACCAGAGATATGGTTGTAACTCACACTTTTTTGTTCAAGCACTGAAAGATCAGTTTTTTTGTTCCAAGAGGAACAGCTGATTAGTAAACTACCTAATCTAGGATTTTAATTCCGAAAACCTCTAAAGACTTGTATATGAATTTATGGATAATTTCAAGCATAATTTCAAGTATGGATTTCAAGCCGTGATTTCAAGACAGAACGACAGAACATCAGTGTTACCAACTCCGGGATTTTATCCCTAAATTTGGGGAGAAAAAATCTATATGGGGATTTTTTTAGGGAGTAAAATTTTTTGGGGATATTTTTAAGGATAAAATTTCAATGGAATTTTACCGCTACCAAAGAGGAGATAAAACCGCTACTGCTATTTTTCAAAATTAATAGGAAAGTAGGGTCTTGTCCACTTTAGGTACATCAAAATTTTAAAATTTTCTATACAGAATTGAGAAGAGGAACACTTATAATGACATTTTCTAACGAAAAAAGTGCGGATCGTCCATAAACAACCCCAGAATTTTACGGGATTGGGGAGTGAAAAGGGGTGCTGGGTGGGGTATTTCAACACTGAATTTTTATTTATTTTGGCCTTCTAAAGTAATAATTTCACTATATTTTCATTATATTATAGTTTATCTAAAAGCCACACTTGATTGAAGATAGAAAAATGTCCAAAATTTTACTGAAAAACACTTTTCTTAACAAAGAAAATTGAGACCAGATGGAAGATTGAAGTTTGACATTTCATATATCCTTCTTTCTCTCTTCTATGCAATGAGAGAGACAAATATATTCTAGACCTAATCTAACAATTTGAAAATTTGCAACGTTGCCATATCTTGTATTTTTTCGGGTAATTACGGATTTTAAATAAATGACCTATTACGAAAGCTGACAATAGCTAAATATGTAACCACAAAATTGCACGAAGGAGTTTTAATAGCATTGGTTTACTAGAAGCTAGGGAGCCGCACTCCACTTTTGCTCCTTTGCTTCCGCGCATGCGCATGAGTTATACAAAATCGATCAGGTTTTTGCGTGCAATCTATAAATACAAAAAAAACTCACACCCAGTGTTGCCAGATATACCATTTAAATGGTATCTATACCATTTTTTCTTCCTTGATACCTGCAAAAATTTTGAGTATACCATTTTCCATTTTTCTACCATTTTTTGAAGACGTTACCATTTTTCTACCATTTTTTTAGAATCCCAGCGATCTACATTTTTTAAACTTTTTAATGCATACCAATCTAGTTTTCCACATCTAATTCTAAGTCTATGGTTTTACCTATATTTTCAGAGCCAAATATGTAGATTATTAATGTTGAATTATTAATAATATATTTTATGTTACCTATCTATTTAAAATGTTCCTAATTACCTTATTATTATATTAGGTCTGTTCGTTTCCTGTTATTATCGATTCTGAATCGTCCTAGAACTCTCCAGCGCATGCGCAAATGAAATAATGTCTTCATATTTCCTTCTGCGCATACGCATCACAATTCTAGGACGGTTCAGAATCGGTAATAACAAGAAAACGAAAAAAGCTATTAATTATACCTATTTCTTTTATTATTATTTTGCATAAATAAAATGTAAAAAAAAAAATTAAATGCCTTGCGCAAGAGTTCAAAAACTGATGTGACAACCAACAGCTACGATGTTTTCAACCAAAATGAGGTTCGTTTGGTTTTTGGGGTTAATCCACGGTTAATCATAGTATCAAAATTATAAAAATATTAAGATCCTCTTTAAAAGTAAAAATACCATTTTTTTTCAGTCAAATACCATTTTTTTAAATACTCGATACCACTTTGTATTTTTTCCATCTGGCAACACTGCTCACACCAAAGACTAACCAACGCAATCAAAATACGCCTAGGTATACCTACGCCTACTGCGTATTTTGGTCGCCGTTACCAACGACTCTAAATAAATAAAAAAAATAAAAACAGTTTTAAAAAATAAAAACAGCTGTAAAAAAATAAAAAAGTTTTATGTCTATCGAGGTTCGATCCACCGTCCGCAAAAAAGTTAAAACCAATGCAATCAAAACTCAGTTACGGCGGACGTTTTTACCATTGTGATCCTCTTCTCAACCTTTAACACAGATCAAAGTATAATATCTATTCTTATGAGCTTAATATCACTACCGCTATTTTTCAAAATTAATAGGAAAGTATAAATAATAAAACAATATCCGATTTAGCATTGGCAACGTTGCTTTAAAAGTTAAACGAAAATAATACAACCAGTAAAACACATTCTCTCTCATCTGTCATAATTATCGCACACATTAAAAACTTATCGTAAATTTAACCTAAAAATAATAATTTTAAGTATCAATAGTGAAGTGATCTCAAACATTTAGCCGACGATCCGTACTTAAAACGTTAAAATATTAATTGTAGAACATATTAATATCAAATTTACATCAATAACTTCAAGATTGGCGATATACCTAAAGTGGACCAGACCCGGAAAGTATAAATAAAACAAAATAATTTATTTATTTTAATCACCGAATCTTGGATAACAGTTGTGGGGATTTTAGTTGTTTGGATTTAAGAAGGTTTAATATTGCTTTAATGGAAAGTTTCGAACAGTTGGCTACATTTGTGTGATCAGACGTTTCAAGATCAACCCAGTGCCTTCTATTAAAAGATCAGCCTACGGGCGAGATTTATGACGTCACGCTAGTTAGATATAACGGATTAATAAATATGTTGTAGAATACATGGAAAACATAATTATTCCTCAGATTTTTGGTTTGTATTTTAAAAATGATATAGTTTAAATGAAATATACATAATATACAGTTAATAACTACAGCATATATACCTATTTATAGTAATAAATACTTTGGCAAATAAACTATGAACCATACAAATGCAGCAAATGTTTTTACAATGTACAAATAATGTATAGGTACATAAGATAATGGGTAAAATGTAAATATATTTTAAATTTTGGGGTTTGAAAAATCGATCTAATTTAACAAAAAACATTTAATATCTACTAATAGTGATGTACCTATTATTATTTGCATTCACAAAATTTATATGTATATTTTGCCAGTATCAATGTTCGAAAAAATTATATTTACAAATAATACAATATTATCTAAAAAAGGCGTCAGCGATGGCTATGAAATGAAGAGCGCTGGCATTTTATATGTTAAATTATTCTAAAATTTTTGATTTTCTTGGGATTTTTAGGTTCGGGAAAAACGCTGATTAAGTTTTCATTTGGGTTTTCATTATTTTTATTTCGTTTAAAAAAAACGTTTCGGCTAACTATAGCCTTCACAGTGTTGTGTCATATGAGAAAAATAGTGTCAAATATAATCCAAAAAATTACATATACAATATAATTCACACCTCATAATGTTTACTGCAATTAATAAACTAATATAAACTTATCAAAAGATGACCACATATTTTTAAAATTATTATTCTTAACACTAAAATTATCTACATTGACTATGGAGATACGCAGTAAACATTATGTGCGTGGTGTGAATATTTTATATGCAATTTTTGGATTATATTGACACTATTTTTTTCATATGACACAACACTGATGGAGGCTATAATGTTAGCCGAACCGTTTTTTTTTTAAACCAAATAAAAAATAATGAAAAACCAAATGAAAAATCAATCAGCGTTTTTTCCCGAACCTAAATTCCAAGAAAATCAAAAAATTTAGAATATTTAGAATCAAGGTTCAAGAATATCAAATTTTCCAAGATTGTAAAATTCTAGTTAATTATTTTATGTGTACAGTTATTTAGGGAATGTCATCGATGTTCATTTCCAAGCCAACTAGACGCCGATTTTTTTCGATGATACGGTATAATTCTTACATACAATGTAAATAACATTAGACCAATTAAAACAAAAGAAATATGAATTTCTTAGTATTTTTAGTAACACCTTTATTCTTAAAACTTAATTTTGTATTATGCAAATATACCAATTTTATTGTTATTTTATTCATATTGTATTCAGCCATCACTTAAATATTTGATATTAATTTGGTATTATAAATAATCAATACTATTCATTAAAAATTACTGAACAAATATATGTTATGCTTAACATACATTATATATTATCAAACAAAAACACATTCTTCTTTTTAAACTGTATATCAGTCTTGTCTTTACAAAAATCTTTTTAAAATTTGAACTCAAAATAATAATCTTTTTCATGATCTCTAATACACATATTCTTTATTTTTCCCTAGATCATAATACCTACTTACGTGTTTGAATCTATCGAAGCTGAACCAGCAACACTTGGAGTGGAGATTCCACAATATGAATAAAATAAACATAATTGTCCAGTTTTCATTAATACCATCATGGGAGAATATTATTTTTAAATTTATTAAAGATATTTTCAATAAAATTCTCTTGATTTATAACTCGTACCCACTTTTCTTGCTCTTCCGGACACTTTAGGCTGCCTAGTATAATAACTATCCTTAGTAACTATCCTTTCCACCAGGAACACAACAAAGATGAGGCATAGCACCAATAACACACTCCACTTAAGCTTTATTGATGAATTGTTAGAGTCTTAAAAAACACACACAAAAATCACGATAAGTAAAAAATGTATGGGCACTTTTAGGTTAAATCACTTGCACAACGTGTAATTTTTAAAATTTCTATTTTTTTATGCGAAACCGAGAGTGACCATATATCTGGTAGTAGTTTATGTACTTCAACACCAAAATAATTAGTTTTTTGCACTACAATAATAAATAATACCAAAAATCAAAGAGTTAAAACCAAAAATCAACCCACAAAATATGAAACGGAATCTAACCCAATATCTAAGTATGTACAGCTGATGAAGTAAACAAAAGTCCGCCCGTAGGCTGATCTTTTAATAGAAGGCACTGATCAACCACTTAAAACACAACAAATTGTTTATTTATTATTATTTATATTTTTAGGGTTTTTTCGGGATATTTTTTTAGGTTTTTAGGGATATTTTGGGGATTTTTGAGGCGAGCGTTTTAGATTTTTAGGGAGATAAATTTTTGAGAGTTGGGAACACTGCAGAACATGTCAGATCTGTCAGATGTTAAATGTCACTGATGTCAGCATCGTGTTTGTCGTTTACCTGTAAATTGTTTATTAAAAATTGAATTTTACTGATATACATTTTTGATGGCTTATCCTCAACCTAATGCTCAAAGAGGTAATAATTTGAATGGCCATTTATATCTCTGTTCAATCAATTTTATTTTACAGAATTGGCAAATCGTAAAATATTAGAGGAGCTTCAACTTAAAAAGCAACTGCTACTCAAACAAGGCGTCGCATCAACACTCAACTCTTCAGCACTCCCAGTTTTAGGATCTACTACCGTTCAGAATAACGATGGACATTCAATGAACTCCCATCAACAACGGGCCGCCTTACAAACTGCTAATTCTCAATCTATGGGATACTTCATCTCGCAAGATTCCTTATTTGGAAATTTGATTTTACCCGTTTTACCTCGATTTGACTCAAAGTAATGTTTCCATGTTTAAAATTAAGGAAAATCGAAGAGACTCTTCAACAAGTTTCTGATTTTAAAAAGCCTAAAATTAAATTAGAACAATACGTAACTCCTGCACATTTGGGATCGCATATGTTGTATACTATTCAGGTATGACATCAGCAGTACAGGGGTGCAACTTTGTTCATGTTTCAAAGCGATAGTAAAGTAATTTGTAGCTTGAGGCACTATGTTCAGTAGCAACATCGATTCGTAGCGATATTCTGATTTCTTGCTTTGTGGCGAGGCGACTGCCTAGATATAGCCTAGACCGTGTCGCACACGTGTGCAAGAGTGTGATAGTGATATCATATTTCACAGCATTTGAACGACAATAGTTTTGCAATGAATGTAGTACCGATCTGGTTTCGACACATCACTTCTAAATGATCGGTTGCTAACTTGAACAAAGTTGCACCCCAGGGTTTTTCACAGAACCTGTTTATTAAAAGTTTTTTTACTATTTAATTTATATACAAATATGAATGTTTTAGGCATCAGGGAGTGGAAAATATATAAAAAAAGAAGTACACCTTGAAATATCCTTAACCTAAGATATTGAGATTTTGTATCTAAATTAGATCCTAAAAGACTTAGTGAATTTTCAAATGCATAGCATAAAAAATTCAGTATTTATTTTTTATAGCTTATTTTATGTAATAACTTTATATTTTCAGTCTCAATATGGAGATATAAGTGGAAAACTTGTAGCCGATCTTGGTTGTGGCTGTGGAGGCCTTTCTATAGGTGCTGCAATATTAGACGCTTCCCTTGTAATCGGTTTTGAAATAGACAGTGATGCTTTAGACATTTTTAAAGACAATATAACAGACCATGAACTTGAAAATGTGGATGTAGTTCAGTGTGATGTGAGAAATCTACCAGAGAAGTACACATGCTCTATTTATGGTAATTTTTTTTAAATTAACAAATTTCTAGATTTTCTAAAAAATTTGATACGGTTTTAATGAACCCGCCGTTTGGTACAAAAAATAACGAGGGCATTGATAAACAGTTTTTAGATGTGGCATTGAAGTTGTCCAAAAATGTTGTATATTCTCTTCACAAGACTACCACAAGGTAAGGATCATTGATATTTTTACATGACTAGTATGTTAGACAGCTAAATAAAAAAAATACAGAAATATAAAATAAAAACAAAATAAAATGATAAAGAAATAAAATTAAATTTAGACCTTACATTACCGGCAAAGGTTTAAACTAAAAATTTGATATTTTCATTATATTGATTCTACAAATAAAAATCCTTAATGCAAATTATGATGTAGTAGTTTTAAAACTTTAAACGTTCTTTAACTCTTCTACACGTAACGTTTTAACGTCTAGAGGACTGATGGTAGTTCTGCAGACTCTGTAGATGGTATTTCTTCTTAGCTGGTAGATATAATGTTTTACAGTAAAACTTTTACCTGTTAGGTTATATGAAACACTTTCCTACATATTGAAAAATATACTATTTCCTATTTGTTGGAAAATTTATGACCCCCATTGTATATATTTTTAGAAAACACATGTTAAAATATGCAGAAAGTCTAGGAGTTAAAGCCGAAGTTTTGGCCGAACTACACTACAATCTTCCTTCAACCTACAAGTTCCATAAGAAATCTTCAGTGGACATTGAAGTGGATTTTTATAAATTCTCAGTGCAACAGACTTGTTAAAAAACTTATTTTATTCGTGGCTAAATTATATTAAATTTAACAACATGAGTTCGACATTCGCTCGCGAACATTGCAAACTTGCAGTGGGCAAGATCCTCCAAACAATCGGATGGAATTCCATCAACTCCACGCCGCTGGAGGTATTGACGGATTTGATGTCAGACTACATCAAACAAATAGCGAAAATAACCAACGACTACGCCAATGAGTTTGGTCAAACCGAACCCAACTTGGATCATTTGGGTCTGGCGTTTCAAGAGGTCGGAGTTAACTTGGGCGAACTTGAAGAATACGTCACCTATGTCAATTTTGTTCCGCCAGGACCCTCGGTCCCAAAATTCCCCATTCCCAACGAAAGTCACCTGAATTTCTTGAAACCCGGATCCAAAGAAGTTGTAACTCGGCCAGTGCATATCAACGAGCATCTACCTCCTATGTATCCGCTTCTCGAAGAGCAACAAGAACAGAATACCGAGAATTCGCCGGTGAAGAAGGAGGTTGAAGATGACGATCAACAGTTGAAGAAGGGTAATGATACGGTATCGCCGGAGTACAGGAGGTTGAAGAGGGAGGAAGAAGGTGGAAGGCCTACCAGGGAGATTAGCAGCGTGATGATGACCACTTCAGGGTTTTTGTCTCCTGCGTGCGAAGGTAAGTTATCGATCAAGCGTTTTAGCATATTTTTAATATTATGAAGAATTTAATTATTTTTTACAATTTTATGTTACTTGTGTCTTTATTTTTATTTATTTATTTTTTTGGATTACGATATAAGTTTATATTTTTAAGACTTACCGCGCACTTGGCGACTTCACTTGGCGACACGCAAGTCAAACTAAAAAAAACGTAATATCTACGAAATAAAGAGATCTACAGAATAATTGAAAGAGAGCAAAAATATTGCAAAAAGACCAATTCTACTCTGTTGCATTTTTTTACGTATCTTGCTTAGTTTTTGAGATATGTCAAAGAAATTAAAATTTTTTAAAAAATAAAAAAAAAATTCATTATTTTAACTTTTTTTCAAATTTAGGCATTCTAAATCGCTCGAACTTGGAGAGCCCATTGTTAGTACCTAAATATAGCCAACTGTACATGTATTACGCTTAGTTTTTATTTCAGTCATAGATTTTGTTAATTTTTTTTTCAGAAAAAATGACCATTTTATTTTTATTATCTCCTCGATTTTTTGAGCTACGAACTTTAAAAAAAAAGCATTTAAAAGGTCACTTTAAAAACGGTCATATTCATTTTCTTCGAAAAATGTGTTCTTTCGCCATTATTTTACGATAAATGTTGCAATTTAGTTTTCGAAAAATAAAAAATCACTTTTACAGAATGATAACTCGGCTATTTTACACCTACGGTAATCAACAAAAAACAAATCGTTTAGTTATTCCAAAAGCTTCATTTTTGCTTTATATGCATTTTGCGATAAAACGCAAGGTTTTCGAGTTATTTATAAAAAATGGCAGAAAAATATGCAGTTTTTAGATGAAAAATCAACATTTTCAATCCTAAATAACTAGGAAAATATTAATTTTCTGAAAAAATGTTTTGCTTAGAATTCATCCCTTTATTGATTTTTACCCTTAAAATGGATGATTTATTTTTCACCCCCGAGAAGGGTAACTTTTCTTTCTTACATCTATTCACTGTTAAAATTTCACGAATTTATAGTACATATATATTGGTTTACTATATTATAATTACTTGTACTAGTGAAAAATTGTTTTATTATTTTTAATGTTTTTAATCTCGGCATGATCGGATGATCAGTCACTGCATAAGTAACAATTTGGAGTCTCTTTCTAATAGCGGTTTTACACCTGCAATTTATTTGGCATATTTAATTTGATTAAATCTTTAATCAAATAATTTAAGTATCATCTTGTCTAATTCATTGAAACTATTAGAACAAGTCCTATTTACTTTCAGATATTTGATCGAATTTATTTCCTGTTCCACATAAATGAATCAATTCAATTTTTTAAACCCTAAACGCTTGTGTTTTCCTTTTTATAATTGTTTTGCCAGTGTATTTTCAGAATTTAAAATACTATAATTTTATTATATAAATACCCATCTAGGGTTTGACCTCGCCAAAACTATCATCGATTGTCATTCCCCGGGACGGCTAACGCCGTTTTTTTTCGATCGTATAGTGTAAATTTCTCATGAAAAATTTTACAAGTAAATTGTCTGGTTTAAGACTGCTATAAGATACATAATAATCTCTACATAAAATGGTCCCTATATATTTTAACTACATAAACCATTGTTAGGTATATTACATTTTAGATGTTCAATGTTTATATTTTAGGTAAGTTACCTGAACCCAAAGCGCCGAACCCACCTGTTGAACCACCAAAACCACCATCTCCGGTACCTCAAGTACCCGAACTGGTCTCTATCAAGAAAAAAGTGGAAAAAAAGAAAGAAAAAGCCCCGAAAGATCCATCGAAATCGACAGGCGACGAAAAACCACCTCCTAAGAAAGCCCACACTCCCAAAGAACCAAAAATCAAACAGCCCAAATCTTCTAACAACGCAAACGCTAACATTCCTCCTTTGGGTTTGATACCTCCCTGGAACACTGCTCATTTTCCTGGAGATTCCAGAATACCGCCTCCTTTGGCAACGCCGCTTCACAAACCGCCTTCTTCGTCCAAAACGAGCATTTTCAACAAAACCTTGGCAGCAGCAAAGGCCAAAACCGAAAAACTCAACACCACGATCACTCCTATACCAATAAAATCCGAACCAGGACAGTTTCCCGTATCTTCAGTCCCTCATCATCAAGTAGACAAACTGGTCACTGAGCCTGATAAGAAGAAAATCAATATACTGAAGAAGATATCGAATGTGAAGGAGAAGCACGAGAAAGTGCCGAAACAACAGCAGCATCACATGAGCCCGCACATGATCCAACAAACTCGTGACATAGTGAACAAGATTAGTTTGTCCAGCGATATCACTATAGAGCCGATCATGAACACCGGAGGGCCTGTACAGAGAAGTCCGGAAAAGATGGATTACTTCTTTGATGATGGTTCTCCTCCGGGCACTCCTTCAACGCCTAGAACTCCAGAGATTATGACACGGAGCCCGCCGACAATGGTGAAGGAAAAACGTAAAAGAAAAGAAAAACCTGAGAAGCCTAGAGCGAAGAAGATGAGAAAAAATCCACCAGCTCACTTCATGGACCCAGGATTCATGGACATGTCCATGGAACATCACCATAAAACTTCAATAGAGTCTCAGAATTTATTAAGGCCCGGACTAGCGTTTCCTGGAATACCCAATCAATTCCGTTTACCTCCTCTAGCAAATTTCGGAGGCCCCGGCTTGATACCCCACACATTCGGCACTCCACTGTTTCCCTTTTCGCCTCTGATGCAAAACTTCGCCGACCAATCGTTCTTTAGTCCTCCCCATATCAAATCTGAACCTCCTGCGAAAGTTTCGCCGCCAAAACATCCAGAACAAATCAAACAAGAACCTGCCGAAGTTGCACCACCGGTTTCTACTGAACTCTCTTCTTCTGCGACACCTTTGACGATCAAAACTGAAGGAGAGACGATACCCGAAACGCAAAAGAAGTCCAAGGAGCACAAGAAAGAGAAGAAGGAGAAGATAAAGAAGAAGAATAAGAAGGAGAAGGTGAAGGACAAGTCGGAGAAGAAGAAATTGAAAGAGGCCAAGAAGGAGAAAGATAAGAAGAAGAAGAAAATTCCAAAAGAAGAGCCAGTGGAAGCGGTGACCAGCATTCCGAAGTTGCTACTGAAGGTATGTTATCTTTGACGGCAAGTACTCAGATTTCAATGATTTTTTATGCCAGCGTGTATTACCAAAGACTTTATTTATTACCAGTTAAGTTATAATACGGGTCTCAGAAAAACAGGTAAACGTAGATGCGCCCTAACCTATAACTAACCATTGGTTTGTAGTCAAAATTATTATTTATTAAATCAAAATAGCTATTACAAAATTATGCATAACAGAATGAGGTGTTCAGATGGAAAAATAATTGTTAATTGGAATTTCTTTAAAAAAAAACTAAAGGAGGGATAGTTAAACTTGTCAAGATCGCAAAAGAGTTTCAATATGGCTGACTTGACTTCCAGGTGATCAGTGGCGTCCGATTTTTTTTTATTTAGTAAGGTATAAATAATAAAGCATAAAGTAGATGTACTCCTACACTCAGTGATTTCCTGGTTTTGTTACGTCCAATAACAATCAATATTAATAATGTTTAAAAAATAAAAATAAAATTCATTTCCAATATTAATTTTTAATTCTTTTTTAGTAAGTAAAAAATTTACTAAAACGAAGATGTATATTTACGGAAATGAAGATACAATACTGGAACATCATCATAAGTAATAATAATTCATAAAATTAACATCTTAATTATTATTGGCAAATAGTAATAAATGAGTGAACAAAAAACATAATTAATTCTAAATAAACTTCTTAATTGACTGGTTGACTACTGATAACATATACCGGGTGCATCTCAAAAGTTGCCTACCGCTATAACTTTTTTATTTTTTTTTAGATAAAAAAACGAGATTTGGTATGGTATATGACAAAAATTCGAATTGATTGTCGTAGTCAACTGGTTTTGGTCAGTTCCTGTTTCACCGGAAATGACTACAACTTTTGATTTTTAAATAGCACCCCCGGTATATTTTTACTTTATTTGATAGTAAATGACACTCTGAATAGAATGACATATCATATGTCAATTTTAGACATTTTCGCTTAAGAAAAATTGTCTTTTAAATTTCAATCTAGGGTGCCATGGATGTGTCAAATCCTACACTAATTTTTAGTCAAGGAGCCTTGGAAAAACATATTTCATCGTCTAATGATTTTTCGTGTCTTGTCTGGGCCCGTTATAAGATGCCCAAATCGTATTTTTAATCATATCTCAATTTTTTCAAATGGAACAGGGGTGAGTCATTAGCATGTTTAAAAAATATATTTTTTTACGAATAATTTGGTACGACACACTTCAATTTGGTACGACACACTTTACAATTTCAAATAAACCTTATGCCAGAATGTCAAAAATTGACATATGATTTGTCATTCTATTCAGCGTGTCTTTTTCTATCAAATAATCATATCGATATATAGTAAAAACATACCGGGGTGTTATTTAAAAATCAGAAGTTGTAGTCATTTCCGGTGAAACAGGTAGCGACCAAAAAAAATTGAATACGTCAATCAATCCTAATTTATGTTATATATTAACATACCAACTCTCGTTTTTTATCTGATAAAATGAAAAGTTACACTTTTGAGACGCACCCCGTATAACTACTATGATTCACACTGATCTTATTATAATGCCAGACCTGACAAAAGGACATAAATATTTTGAATAAAGCCAATTTTAAATAAACAGAAGATAATAAAAACTAAACAGAGGAAAGAACAAGTAACCCTCAAAAATTCAAATTTGTCAAGGGAATAGTCAAATAAAAAGTTATGTTTTCATCTTGTATACCTGGAAAATGTGACATTCCAAGATGTAAGGAAAAAGCTGATGGTTATTATGAACTAGTGCTCTAGGTAGAACTCCTCGAGGTTTACTTATTTTTCTGAGAGCATACTTATTAGAGAATTAGAGTTAGAAAGTATTAGATAAGCTTTAATCAGAATATTTTCTCGTACAATAATATTTATTTTGTTCAATATGTGAGAGTTTTTTATACTTATTTTGAATAAAATTACTAAAATAACTTGTATAATATTGTTTATGAAGAGCTTTACGTGAGAATGTTTCTTTCTGAATATTAGATCAATATTTTTAGAGCTATAAATTTGAAGTTTTAGCGGTATTGGAATGGATGAATGTCGCAAATTTTTATTTTTTTAACTTGGCTATTAGAAAAGTTATTGATATAACAGAATTAGATATTCAGTCTGCCTAATGAAAGTGACCGTTGTTATTTTTTTCTTGGATGTCAAAATCGTTTTTTCTCTCTCTAACAAACTATATAATTTTTTTGGGTTAATTTTTTTGCATATTATGTGATCTAAGTGCTGCACTTCTTAAAATTGCTCTTATCTCCAAGATAAACAGGTAACTGGTATGGTATAGCCACCTATTATGTCACGTGTAATACCCAGTATTATTAATAATATTTCAAAAATACCATTATTCATTTTGATTGTTCATTGAAAGTGTGAACTTTTTGGGTGCATGTTTCATTTGTCATTTATATTAGGATTTCTCAAAATGAAGTGGAAGATACGTAAATAAAAGTACCTATGTCTTGCTCATACAGTGGGGTTAGTAGGTTAGTAATCTAGGGTTATCGTTTCTTTGATTGTTCAAAAACTAAAAAACCACAAAACATTACACATAGTGAAAAATTTAATATTTATTATGTATAGAACTTTTTGGCATTACCTTATTAAGTAGAAAGTAGGTTAATTTGAAATTTGACTTTACTAACAATCTATCAGAACTTCAATGGTGGTAGTAGAATATCTAAAGTGTTTTGAGAAACCCTAATTTATATCATCTTACATCTAAACTCACACAGATAAAATAAATTTGTGACATTTGCCCATTCCCGCAGGTAAATTCCCCATCGCCTAGGCCGGAAACGCCGGATACCACCAAAAAGCTAAACATTAAGCCAATAATAAAGAAAGAAGAGCCTTCCTCGCCAGAAAGAAAGCGCGAAACATCTCCAGGCTTGGCCAAAATATCTGCTTTGGTCACTGGTCCTCCGAAACCAAAGAATCCTTCCCCAGTGCTTACCGCAACGGAAAAACCATCACCCACTGAACCTACTACACCTACTTCGACACCTCGACCGCCAGGAAGACCCAGAATACATCCTTTGAAGCCTAAAGCGACAACTCCCAAGGTGAAGAAGGTTCAACAGCAGCCATACACTAGCAAGGATGCTGAGGGTAATACCATATGGTTCTGTCCTGAGTGTGACCTTCAAGACGATGGTAGACCAATGATTGGGTGCGATGGGTGCGACGCCTGGTACCATTGGGTGTGCGTGGGTATTCAGGTGCCTCCTGACAATAACGAGAATTGGTACTGCCGCCGGTGTCTCGCACAGAAGAACGCGGATTTATCAAGTAAGAAGAAGAAAAGGAAAAAGAAGACTCCAGTTTAAGATTCCTCTTCAGTCCATATATCAACTGAACCGCCAACCTACCACACTGAGTTCAATACCGAGACCGCCATGAACATCCAGAATACACCCTTTGAAATGCAAAGATACATCTCCCAACGTTAAGAAGGTTAGCTTAGCAAGGAGCTGAGGTTCCATCATATGGTTCTGCCCTAAGTATGACTTACATTGCATGGTACCATTAGGTGTACGTGGGCATTAAGGTGCTCTCGGACAATAAGGATAACTGGTACTGCTGTCGGTGTCTGGCACGGAAGAATGTGGATTTGTCCAATAAAACGACCTATCAAGGTTTAGAGGGTACAGGTAAATAGCATTGAATAAAATGTCTAAGGAAGATTAAACAAACTTCGTTAGACCGCGAAGGGGTCTTATTATGTCTGACTTGACTTCCGGGTAAATAGTGGCTTTAGATTTTTTTTAGGCGTTGACATACCGTGCTGGCAACTGTTATTTTTGGGTCGGTATTTACATGTTTGGAAGTAAATCGCATAAGGATCTTATTAAGTTGGAGTGAGAGAAATGCGACGGACAGTGTGGTGTTGAGTTGTTGTCGGTACGCCTTCCCTATCAAGTAAAGTAAAATCACGATCGCAAACCGCTTATTTTTGAGACTTTTTTTCGAAAAGGTAACTAGATAAAATCATTAGATATGTTTCTGAGCATCTCAAATGGAATTATAAGGATATCGTTAGGGTGTCCATTTTTTTTATAACGAGAAAACGTAGAGAAAACGTCAGTAATCGCGATAATTTAAGTACTCAACCATTTTACACATAACACGCCATAACTTAAGAACCACTTTAGATATTGAAGCTTTTTTTTTATTTTGAAGATCGGATCATTTACAGTATGTTTACATAAGAAAAATTCGATAAGGTTGTTTTTTCCATTCTAAAATTTAAACAACCCATCCATTTACTTTTAGTGCATAGCAGTTTTCAGCAATCGTGTAACTTTTATATTTATAAAGATTTTTGCATACTGTCTGCGAATAAAGTTTTTGAAAAACTACAATCAATTCTAATAGATTTCGAGACATCGATTTTTGAATTCAGAGTTCTAATAGCGCGACCACTGTCGAACATCAACTCAATTCTATTTATTTTTATCAAAAATGCAAGTGTTTCTAACTTGCAGTTAAAATTTTTTAAGCTGTAGGGAAAATTACAACGACTCGTTAATAAATAAACAAATGAAGTATAACGAGACGTAATTAAATTGTGAAGCTGAACGCATGATGTACACCTTTCCCTGGAACTTTAAGTACTGATAGAGGTAATTGGGTCAACCGGTTGACTGCGACAAATCTGCTATGTCCCCTTCCACGTATCTTAGCAATGTGCACAGTTTATCGGTTTATTTCATACGTTTGGCAACGTGTTCACTGTTCTCTCTTTGTTCAGTACATTCTAAACCATTGTACTCTTCTGACATACGGAAATCTCGACCCAAGACTAACCTTTGCCAGCCCTTAGTATATAATATGGTATATTGTAATCTGCCGTTTCTAATTTACGTACAAAGTACAAATATATTTTTAATTAAAAGTGATTGCAAAAATAGTTCCAACATAAATAAATTAATACTTATTTAATAACAAAACTATAGATATGCTGAAGCAACTTGAATTAAATTAAAAGAATTGACTTTCAAAGTTTTCTTCACAAGTAGTAATAAAATTCGTAGATTATTCCTGACATATGTCGGGTGTTTTTTCAAAAGTGACTCACCCCTATAACTTTTATTTTTTTTAGACAAAAAAATCGATATTTAGTATGTTAGTATATTATATGACGTATTGATTGATGCATTCAACTATTTTCGGTCACATCCTGTTTCACCTGAAATGTCTGCCACTTTATTTAATAGAAAATTTCATTCTAAATAGAATGACATATATGTCAGCTTTTAATATATTCGCTGAAAAAATGTATTTTAAATTTTAAGTGCAATGGCTGTGTCCACAATGACAATTTCACGCGAATTACCAAGTATGTGGTACCAAATTATTCCTAAAAAATGTTTTTTTTAATTATGCTAAGTTTTGATTAAAAATACGATTTAGGGTGGCTGCAACGACGTCCCGTAATCCTGCGGTTAAAACATACCAGCTGTTTTTTTATATATAAAAAGTAATTGTTTTGTTTTAACAGCAGGATTACGGGACGTCGTTGCAGCCACCCTTAGTAATTTTTTAACCAGTCAGGAAATGTCAAGAAAAAACATTAGATGATCAATTATATTTTTCCAAGGCTTCTTGATTTAGAATTACTGGTTTTAGTTAACTTAGGGTACCATGGTAACCGAGGGTACCATGCATTTAGAAATCAAAAGTTGTAGTTATTTCCACTGAAACAGGAAGTGACCGAACATAATTGTATACGTCAATCTTGATTTAAGTCTACTCGTCTACTATACTATGTCTTAACACACCAAATCTTATTTTTATCTGAAAAAATAAAAAATTTGTAGGGTAAGCCACTTTTAAAAAACACCCGGTATAATTATTTTTTAATCTCGGAAGCATCGTATGCTTCACAAATAGCTATTGTTAAGCCTCTTAAGTTTCATAATAATCACTGTAAATATAATAACTGTAATTCAAATCCATATTTTTTTTGCATATTACTGATTATAAACCTAATAAGAACTAAAATATACAGAAAAACACAAAAAAAATTACAAAATACTAATTTGTCAAGATGAAAGTCTAATAAAACAGGCAAAAAAGATGTTTGAAACGGTTACCATGATGTTTCTCGCGTCTTTAACGCGTGTATATAACAGTAATATTTTACTATGTACTTCCTTAGTATTTTTATTCAATGTCTGCAGAGGTTGTATGAAGAAAATTTGTAACTTTTTAACAAGTCTTTTTTTAGGTGCTTATTTTGTCCATTTAAAACCTTTATTTTACAAACTAATAATATATTATTAAATGTTTTTGACTTTACTTAATGGGATACAATTTATTAATATTTATGCTACATCTAAATACTTTTTTTAAATTTCTAAGTATATACAAGTTCAAATTTTTTAGGAAGTTGTTCAAAAATTTTATAATTAAGTATATAAATATAAACATTCGAGTACTGAGTGTGGTTTTCGATGAATATGGAAATCAACAAATTGTACCTATTATAGTATCAATTTTGAACAATATTATTTTATTAGAATTATTTAATTTTACTCTTTATACAAAATTGTTATTTTTTTTGAACCAATATTCTTTTTTAAATTTACTGTAGAAATTTCTTTTTACATGGACTGACAAGCTCAAAAATTAATAATTTTATTATTGTGTGAAAATCCTCAAAATTAATAATGCGTGTAAATATATAAATAGTAGTTTATTGTTTAATATTATTTTGGGCTTAAATAAGTAGTTAAAAAGAATGTTAAATATAATAATTGTAAATATTTAGATAATACAAAGAACTTAATTTTACAAACAAAGATTATTGTGAATATATATTATTATAAAACGTATGTTACTATATTAATGATTGTTTAGGATTTTATTTCTTAATTATTAATATTAATTATTGCTCTAACCTTATCAATTACGAAAAGCATATTAAAAATAGTATGTTTTATTGTAACCTGGGTTTTATTTTTCATTGTCCAAAAAAGTTTTTTCATAATAACTGATGTTATTTTAGAGACTATGTAACAGTGCTATTCTCAATATGTTTTACATTGAAGCTGTAGTTCTTTAAAAGGAATAACATTTTTTCTCTATTTGTCATAATATTCACACTACCTTGCTAAATGAATTTAGCAAAAACAAAAGTAAGGTACAACGAACTAGTAGACAAAAAAAACATTCTAATAAATAACACAAAACTGGAAATAGTAGAAGAAAACATATATTTGGGACAACTAATACTCAGCTTGGTATCTCTACTATCAGAAATCAACTGAAGAATTAAGTTAGCATGGAGTACTTATGAAAGAAACTCAATCATATTCAAATCTAGAACGCCACTTTATCTAAAGAAGATAACATTTGACCAATCTGTACTACATGTCATGGCCTATAGGCCTATGCATGCGAAGCCTGCACGGTTAAAACGGACATTATAAGGAAACTGCAGGTCAATGGAACGAAATATGCTGGGAATACCCAAGAAAAACCGTAAAATAATACTGACATCCACTGAATCAAATCCCTCAAGTGGCAATCAGGGGCGGATCCAGGATTCTGGAAGGGGGGGGGTTAGAATCAAAACTTTACTATAAGCACAGAATATCTAGCTACGCAACAGAAAAATACTCGAAATGAAAGAGCTAAAATTGCACAAATAGAATACTAGATGGCGCCACAATATCATAATCAGAATATAATTAGAAATTTTGAACTTTCGGTTTTGGATCGACGGCCTTATAGCTCGGCTAAATATGCACAGTTGCCAGATTCAAAAAGACTTGAATTGGCATCCCATTCTTTTTATTGTGTATAATGCAGTATGTGTTTCTTTCTATTCTTCTTTCCTTGTCAGATACACTTATATTAATTATTCCTTTGGCTATTAAAATAGTTTTAAGTATATTATTACAAAACATATATATTTTTAATATACACTATACCTTATAATGTTAAGTAAGAAAATACCTTTAATTACTTTTAAAATTAATAATATACAGGGCGATTGATAGTGATATTTATTAATGCTGGAACGTTAGTAATGAAATATAGGTTTAATAATAATGGAAATAATTTATTAAAATGCAGTACAAAAATGTTAACTGACTAAAAATACTATAATAACAAATTTCTTCCGTTTGCCATGTTATTTATATAGACCTAGGTAGATTTTAAAAAGTGACACGGGTACAATTAATAATATATTAGTTCGGCATAAAAGTTGCTGTCACGACATCGAACAATAAATTAAAATTCGTAAAATAAATTAAAATTATTAATTAAACAAATCTTTATAAAGAAACGCAAGTATACCAAATTTGGGCCCAATCGAACTCCAGGAAATGATATCATAATAGTGTACTATATTATGGTACCACTCGATATACTTTAAGGTACCATAATATTGCAATGTCACCGAAGATCCGTAGTATACAAAATTTAAGAACAATCGAACGCCATGAAATGGTATCGTAATATGGTACTATATTAAGGTACCACTTTATATACATCATGGTACCATCATATTACAATGTCACCGAAAATACGTAGTATCCCAAGTTTAAGCCCAATCGAACGCCATGTACGTAATATAGTACTATATTATGGTACCAGTTGATATGCTTCATGGTACCATAATAATGCAATGTCATCAAAAATACGCAAGTATATATCAAATATGAGCTCAATCGAACGCCAGGAAATGGTATTGAAATATGGTACTATATTAAGGTACCATTTTATATGCATCATAGTACCATCATATTACAATGTAACCGAAGATACGTAGTATAACAAGTTTAAGCCTAATTGAACGCCAGGAAATGGTATCGTAATATGGTACTATATTATGGTACCTCTTATTATGCTCCATGGTACCATAATATTACAATATCACCGAAGATACGTAGTATCCCAAATTTAAGCTCAATCGAAGCCATGTACATAATATGGTACTATATTATAGTACCAGATTATATGCATCATAGTACCATCATATTACAATGTCACCGAAAATACGTAGTATACCAAGTTTAAGCC